AGCTGGTAGTTTCTAAAAAAGAAGCTGAAGAGGAGTGGAGAGCAGTCTTGGCAGTAGCAGCCAGAAATTACATCAAATTAACAAGATTCCAGATAACACTCAATGCTAAACCACCTCCCACACTTTTACAAACCTAACAGAAAAATATGAACATGAGAAATTAAAACACCTAAGTTGAATCAACTGCTAACTAGATAAAAAAAAAACACATCAAAATAACTACTACTGTACATTTTAACTTTGCAATAGAGGTCAGACATGTAGTTTGAAAAAAAAAAAATAAAATAATCAAGATGTAACACTGAAGGTTATGGTAAATTGATGTCAACTTCCCTGCGTCCCATTATAAAACTCTATAAAGAATGGCCGACAAAACATTTGGGCTGTGTGGTCCAGTGTTCCTCCTGCGAATGTCTCAGACTTTTGACCAGAATCTCTTAAATCTAAAGTAAACACGACTGTCCCGAGTGCGCGTTTCCCGTCCTAACGAAACCCAGACCTGCTGTGATTTATCTCAAAGGCGTTACAAGCTTTTCCTGGATCAGAGTTCAAAGGTCACACAGAGATGGCTCCCTTCAGTGAACCGGAATAATACTGGAGTGTCCTATCTCAGCCGGCGTCCATCTCAAATGGAAGAAACCATCAAAAGTATAGGATTAACACAACATTATTTTAAACAACTTTTGCTTCTGAATCAATCATAAGAATAAAAAACACTTCTAAAGAATAAATTTAAATTTAAAATAGAGTTACAGTTACTATTTACAATATACAAGTGCACATGGTGCACACAATGTAAGGTGACAGCAGTACAGTGAAGTAAAGTGACGTATGATGGGCAGTAAAGTGACTTTATAAAGGGCAGGGGGACAGGTTACGAAGTGTTCAAGAGTCCAACAGCAGAGGGGAAGAAACTGTTCTTGTGGCGGGAGGTTCTAGTCCTGATGGACCGCAGCCTCCTGCCTGAGGGGAGTGGTTGGAATAGTCCATGTGCAGGGTGAGAGGGGTCGGCTGTGATACGACCAGCCCGGCCTCGAGCTCGGGCAACGTACAGGTCCTGCAGCGATGGAAGGCAGCGGCCGATCACTTCCTCTGCAGAGCGCACAATGCGCTGTAGTCTCTGTTTGTCCCTGACTGTGGCTCCAGCGAACCACACGGTGACGGAGGAGGTGAGGATGGACTCGATGATGGCCGTGTAGAACTGCACCAACATCTGTGCAGGCAGCTTGGCTTTCCTGAGCTGCCGCAGGAAGTACATCCTCTGCTGGGCCTTCTTGATGAGGGAGCTGATGGTCGGCTCCCACTTGAGGTCCTGGGTGATGGTGGTGCCCAGGAAACGGAAGGACTCCACAGAGGTGATGGGGGAGTCCATCACGGAGGGTGGGGGCGGGGGGACAGTGCTCTTCCTGAAGTCCACAATCATCTCCACTGTCTTCTGGGCGTTCAGCTCCAGGTTGTTACCACTGCACCAGGACACCAGCCGGTCCACCTCCCTCCTGTAGGCGGACTCATCGTTGTTGGAGATGAGTCCAATGAGGGTGAATTCTGGTAAATTTTTATGGGTTTTGTGGAACGTTCCAATGCTTTATTACTGTAGGCCAGGTGACCCAAACCAGAAAACAAGTTCAAAACTCAAGCATTAAAAAAATAGTTCATGATGTATCTTTTGTATTTGATTTACTTTTATCAGTGCAGTCCCAAGTTGACCAACAAGCAGCAAAGTGCAAAAAGACACTCTGAACCAGCGTAACCGGATTTATTGTGCAACAATTAATATTTAATTCTGTTCACATTTACTTACACTATTTCAAACTGTCTGCAGTAACCTTTTACAGCAGAAGGACCGAAAATCCAGTAAGTTACAACCAACTTCCCTCTTTATACATTTACTTATTCAAAAGGTACTTACTAATGTAAGGTGAAGCGGTTCCTTTGGCACTCCCTCTTGGCTTTCTGGTCAACTTAGCTTTGTTAAAATAGTGCTAAACATGTCACTTAATAATGCAAGTCAAATGTGATTTTCTATTGTAATGAAATGAGAGTCTGAAAAGGTACAACTCAGTGTCCCCTATTCCCTCATGGAGAGAATTCCTACAGTCGAAAATTGACAGTGAGCAAATGCATTTCAGTTTTATATCTGATTCTTAGCCGAATTCGTGTTTCCATTGGAGACGAGACAGTGAGTCAGGAGAAGAGGTTTGGCTCTGAACAGCAGATATGATCTCAGATAGTCAAACACATTGAGACCAATCGTGTCGCAGTGACCCAGCTGCACAAGAGCGTCAGATGAAATAGAAGATTGGGTTGATTTAATCTGTACTGGGATTTGAAAAGTGCATCCACGGCATGGGTTTAGAGATGTCAAAGAGATGAATGCTCCAGAGGAGAGGTAGCAGAAGGGCAATGATTCAAACAACCTCTGAATTGTGGACATTGGTATTGTCTGTTGTGGCAGATAATTAAAAAAATTTAATAACAAATTCCAATTCCCCTTTTGAAAAATACTGCATTTCTCTCCAGCGTAATATTGTCAGTAGCAAAATCTGTGCTTTGTTAGGCTACTAGAACTGGGATCAAGACCTGAAGGGTGTAACTAGTGGGGCGGGTCTCTCGGTCTCAATATTTTTAATAGTGAATAATGCGCTAAAACATTGTTAAAGATGTAAAAGATGGCTCAAAGTTAAAAGTTGAAACATGTCAACAAGATGATTTCCGTGCAGTCCAACTGAGGGATGAAACAATACAGTCAGGATGGAGGTCTGAAGGGCCTTAAATACATAGTTCCCACATGACGTCACTACATACGGGTATTTGCCGACCCGGCGACATTTGTGTTGGCATGCTGTGGGCAAAACAATAGAAAAAGAAGCTGAAACGTGTTAATGTCGTGATAAAGTTGAAAATGGTCATCTCCTGCTGGGTCAATGGATGTTCAAATCGTGCCGGAGGTTCCGTTAAACTTGGATTTTACAGTATACCCATCATTAGACTTCATGAATGTGAGAAGACTAAGCTTTTGTCAGAACAACCACGGAGGTTATGGCTTGCGAAGATAAACAGGCAAGAAACTCCCTCAAAACACGCAAGAATATGCTCGGAGCACTTTGTGTCAGGTGCGTATCGTATCTTATAATGTGTTGACAGACGTAATTTACTCAGTACTAACTTGTGTATGCTGATAGCTGGTAACTTGAGAGTTTCATTATTTAGCGTTAGATTACTTTATTATGAGGAGGATCGGTGTCGCGTCCGAGGCTCTCGAGGGCAACGTAAATGTATTAAATAGATAATAATAGTTCTATGGTGGGCTAAAACAATGTTCACAAACAGCATTGCTTCTGTAAAAAGATCTGTGTCATAAAATAAACTGCTCTTTACGCCTGGAAAAATCAGTTGCCCACCATTCACCAAAACATACGGTCAAAAACGCGGAAATAAACAATAACAGCAATCCAGAGTGTCCGTGTGGCATTAGCATTAATTAAATTAATTGTTAATATAATTAAAATAATTAAATGGAGCTCCAACTGGTATTAAATCTAAAGTTTTTGAGAAATGTTTGCATTGCTTGTTAATTTTTGCTGCATAATTTGATCAAATATGTAAAACATGTCCGTAGCACGTTAAACTGTGGTGCCATTGTATTAATATACAATTATTTCCTCAAAAGTTGCCCTTTTTTTCCAATTTGCGTTTGAATATCTACATTTATTCTCATTCTTCTGTTTAATGGAATGCACAAACACAGCAGCGTGCCATCAAAGATGGCGTCTCCGAGGAGGTCATGTGACATTCATTGGTCTGTGGGAACTATGTATATGTGTGAGCTGTCCATCCCTTCATAATCTATTTGTTTGTGACATTTTCCCCTGAATTGGTGAATGGGTAGTATTGCCTATTATCTAGATCTGATTAACAGGTGCATTGCTCCACTTTCCTATTGGTGACCCGCCTTTTGTGAAGTGGTCCGATTTTAGCAATTGTTATTGTTTGGCAGGAAACGGTTTAGCTTATAACAGCTCCTCAAACATGGATGATTTAGTGCATTTTTACAGAGAGAACACTTGTTTCTCCACAGATATAACTTCACTCTGCTTACTTAGCAGAATGAAGTCACATGCTCGTTTCCAATGTAAAAGGAAGTTCTAATGACAAACTGTATACATTTCCAGCATTTCCAGCAGTATACTATCCACTCAGCCACCGTGGGCGGCACGGTGGCTGAGTGGATACCACTCTCGCCTCTCAACAAGAAGGTCCTGGGTTCGAATCCCGGTCGGACCAGGGCCTTTCTGAGTGGAGTTTGCATGTTCTCCCCGTGTCTGCGTAGGTTTCCTCCGGGTACTCCGGTTTCCCCTACCGCTAAAAATATGTCCAATAGTTCTGGCATGTGCCTCCTGTACTGGCCCCTCCCATCTCTGTGTGGAGTGAGAGACAAATGCCCAAAAAAAAAAAAAAATAACAATTGTAAACCGCTTTGAGACTCAGCTCTGCAGTGAAAAGCGGTATATAAATAATTACTTACTTACTTACTTACTATTTAGATGAACAAGCATCTGTCCCGGTGAGTCTGCCACCAGCACAGATGACGAATGCAGCTCTAAGAGGCATTTTGTTTTTGTTAAGTATGTTTAATTGGTAATGGCCATCATGTCGTAGAAATGTCATATTGTCCTATTCCTAGAGCAACTCCATGTAATCCATCCAATTGATCAATCTCAATTAATCAATATTGAAATAGTTAATTTACAATTATAAAAAATCAACAATTTTTTATGTTTTAGGCTTACATGAGATTACATTAAAATGTGTTTTTTAATCAATGTTCAATCCATATCTATAAAAGATTTTCACCAAGGGGATCACTTGAGCTTTGTTTTGGGCATTTAAATAAAATCCAATATTCACTGACCTTTCCCCATGTAACAAATAATCAATTATTAAAATAACCGGTATATATATATATAGATCCCTGATATGTAAACCCTGCAGTGCTGTACCTTTGTCTCTCCCATGCCCTCGGCCTCTGACACCTGGTATGTGAGGTCCGTCTCCTCAAACCCAGTGGCGCTCATCCTCTGGTCTGTGGAAGGGTCAGAGCGCGGGGGGGAGTCCGGAGAGTTCAGACACGTTTGGATTAGGGCCTTCCCCGTCTCGCTCGTGATCATGGGCTGCAGTTTACGCGTGGCAAATGTGTACACATGCCCCGTTTCACTGGCCACGAGCAGAAGCACCTGGGTTCCTGTCAGGGTTGAGAGTTCATAGGCCTGGAAGACAAAAAAGGAAGGAAAAGGCTTAGAGAGGATGCGCAGGGGAGAACCATATATGGGCACGGATTATCAGTAGCACTGAAGTAATCTCACCAAAGAGGGAATGTGAGATACCCAAGCGAAGAATATAGGAACAAGGAGGCAAGAAGTGAGTAAATCTAAAAATATTTCAACAAGGTGTATTTATACAAGCTCGAAGAGATCAGATGATACAACTCAAGCCAGTTTTATGGCGTGAACAAGAGAAGGACAATAATGACTGCACTGAGGATAAAGTTACAACTCTGTTATTAGCAAAGCAGGTGTTGTCAGTACTGTACAATTTACCATACCAATCTAAAAATATAAAAGACTATAGAATAGCACTTGTTAAAATAATTACATCTCAATATTTCAATTAACAGTTATATACACTAAGCCTTTACAATACTGTGAAAACAAATCTACAGTGAATGAGATTGCCCATCTACTGTTCCAAATGCTGTCGCCTCCAGCAGGAGGCCAGTCCCTGTGCTCCTCAATAGTGCCATACAAGCAAACTGGGACTAACAAATGTCTCGAAATTACATTGGTGCGAGGCTATAGAGAGCCTTGCAGACGAGCAGAGTTGCTTTACAAAAAAGTTGTGAATTTCTCTCATAAGATATACTTTTCATTTTACATTCAGAGGTATAGAACATTAATTCAATCTAGAACTTTAGGCGTGTAAAAGTTGTGAAAAGAGAGTCCCTATACAGTGCCTTGCGAAAGTATTCGGCCCCCTTGAACCTTTCAACATTTCGCCACATTTCAGGCTTCAAACAAAGATATAAAATTTAAATTTTTTGTCATGAATCAACAACAAGTGGGACACAATCGTGAAGTGGAACAAAATTTATTGGATAATTTCAACTTTTTTAACAAATAAAAAACTGAAAAGTGGGGCGTGCAATATTATTTGGCCCCTTTACTTTCAGTGCAGCAAACTCACTCCAGAAGTTCAGTGAGGATCTTTGAATGATCCAATGTTGTCCTAAATGACTGATGATGATAAATAGAATGTACCTGTGTGTAATCAAGTCTCCGTATAAATGCACCTGCTCTTTGATAGTCTCAGGGTTCTGTTTAAAGTGCAGAGAGAACCATGAAGACAAAAGGAACACACCAGGCAGGTCCGAGATACTGTTGTGGAGAAGTTTAAAGCCGGATTTGGATACAAAAAGATTTCCCAAGCTTTAAACATCTCAAGGAGCACTGTGCAAGCAATTATATTGAAATGGAAGGAGTATCAGACCACTGCAAATCTACCAAGACCCGGCCGTCCCTCCAAACTTTCATCTCAAACAAGGAGAAGACTGATCAGAGATGCAGCCAAGAGGCCCATGATCACTCTGGATGAACTGCAGATAACTACAGCTGAGGTGGGAGAGTCTGTCCATAGGACAACAATCAGTCGTGCACTGCACAAATCTGGCCTTTATGGAAGAGTGGCAAGAAGAAAGCCATTTTTCAAAGATATCCATAAAAAGTCTCGTTTAAAGTTTACCACAAGCCACCTGGGAGACACACCAAACATGTGGAAGAAGGTGCTCTGGTCAGACGAAACCAAAATCGAACTTTTTGGCCAAAATGCAAAACGATATGTTTGGCGTAAAAGCAACACAGCTCTTCACCCTGACCACACCATCCCCACTGTCAAACATGGTGGTGGCAGCATCATGGTTTGGGCCTGCTTTTCTTCAGCAGGGACAGGGAAGATGGCTAAAATTGATGGGAAGATGGATGGAGCCAAATACAGGACCATTCTGGAAGAAAACCTGTTGGGAGTCTGCAAAAGACCCGAGACTGGGACGGAGATTTATCTTCCAACAGGACAATGATCCAAAACATAAAGCCAAATCTACAATGGAATGGTTCACAAATAGACGTATCCAGGTGTTAGAATGGCCAAGTCAAAGTCCAGACCTGAATCCAATCAAGAATCTGTGGAAAGAGCTGAAGACTGCTGTTCACAAACGCTCTCCATCCAACCTCACTGAGCTCGAGCTGTTTTGCAAGGAAGAATGGGAAAGAATTCCAGTATGTCGATGTGCAAAACTGATAGACATACCCCAAGCGACTTGCAGCTGTAATTGCAGCAAAAGGTGGCGCTACAAAGTATTAGTGCAAGGGGGCCGAATAATATTGCACGCCCCTCTTTTCAGTTTTTTATTTGTTAAAAAAGTTTAAATTATCCAATAAATGTTGTTCCACTTCACGATTGTGTCCCACTTGTTGATTCTTGAGACAAAATTAAGTGTGTGTATCTTTATGTTTGAAGCCTGAAATGTGTCGAAATGTTGAAAGGTTCAAGGGGGCCAAATACTTTCGCAAGGTACTGTATGTCTTAGAATGGGAAGGAATTGCAGACAAGGCAGTCACCAAAATAAATCAGTCACAGTCCACGCCAGAATCATTAAGTCTGATTAGAAGTAGGGCTGGGCGATATGGCTGAAAACTATATCACGATATAAGTCATTCATATCAGTCAATAACGATATATATTGAGTTTTTTTTTTTTTTTACCTAAATAAATATATTTGTTGTGTGGGCTAACCAACCTTAGCAGCCTTGTTTACAGTCACGGGGCGATGAGGCTGGAGGAATATGTTCACACTGTGTCCCTCGTTGTTAGTCCTGGTTTAATCCTGGTTTTTTATTCCTGGTTTAGCTCCTGGTTTAGCTGTTTGAGGGTCTTGTGTCCCCGTGACCGCTCCGTGCGGCTCTCTGTGCCGCACATGCTTCCCGAGGAAAAAGTTAATCTCTTGCTTTCGCCGAATACATCGGGTCTGTCCACTGCCTCTGCCGCCGCACATGTTATTCCGCGCACGTACGTACATAACCATTGACACGGCATTGAAACACGAGCTATAGATCCATGGACGCTACGCATGGTGCGGTTGTTGGTGTTTTTGCATTTCCCACAAAGTTTTGCGGTTCCTGCTCGGCTGTTATTGGTCGAGAAGCCTCTACCTACATCCCCCACAATGCCATGCGCTTATGAGTCGGCTTTACTTCCGGTGTTTTCTTCCTGTTTTTCCTGACGGAGTTAAGTTAAACTATCGAACATTCTATTGACCCCATTCTCTATTGATATCGAACACATGTCTATCGCGATATATATCGTTATCGTTTTATCGCCCAGCCCTAATTAGAAGTCTCCAGAAGTTAAGGTATATTTTATTGCCAGCATGGGGGGCATTTTGTCGGGCACACTTTAACTGGCCAATACTGAAGACGTTTTTATAACATGCCAATATCCGCCCTCATTACACTTTACATTACGCTCCAGAGACCTGAGTTTAACTCCACATCAGACACTCTATCTGCACTCACCGCAAACTCCTGAGAACACTTTTCAACTCAAATAAATGACTCATCAGGTTGTGTGGAGGATAATTCTAGCTCCACTAAAGCCACTGCAGCGGTAGCATCACCTCAGAGCATGCTGTAAAAACTCACAGCAGCTGATCAAACCAGTAAAATTCAAATTACTTTTCACAGGCCAATATAAAACATGCAAAGGACTACATCTTTATTATGAGCCGTATCAACCCAAGCCTATCAGTAATGCAGATTCAAAGTGTCTATGTGATTGCCCCTCTGCGGCTAATATAAAAAGCAATAGAACGGCTAATGACCACAAGACCTCCAATTTGCTGCCCCACGCGTCACCTGAAGACTTCAAACTCCCAATTATGTCAAGCTATGCAGTCCTTGTGTGCCTATAGTGCTGTCTGCGTTTGATTGTGGCCTCTACTTAAGCGCTAATGTAGCTAACATGTAATGAAGTGCGCAATTAGCTGTCCCCGTCTCCTCCTGATTACCTCGCTGTTGTAGCTAGACACGGCAAAAAGCAATGCAACGAGTAATTTGGCAATAGTTCAAAAATAACAAGGACTAATGTAATGCATTTGTTGACTCATGAAGCGTGTGAATCCTAGTGCCGGTGGGGTCGATTCACACAGAAATATTTCACACTAAACAACCCACACGCGACTTATGGACCTATAAAATGTGTGAGAATGTATTTATACTTGTATATTCTTCTGTAATGAAAAACTGAGTGAGGGAGGGGCTGTGGTGTGTTGTTTACAAAGATTTAGTTTATAAGTCGGAGAATAAAGTAGGAGTACTTTTAATAGCAGGGCAGCACAGTGGCAAGTGCTTGTACTTCACAGCAAGAGGTCCTGGGTTTGATTCCACCTCCAGGCCTTTCTGTGTGGAGTTTGCATGTATTCCCGTCTCTAAGGGTGCTCTGGTTTCCCGGCATTCTGGCATTGTGCATATTTTTTTAATGTTGCGGGTGCGCTTACATATTAATAGTCCAGAAAGTACAGTACATATTTTGACCATCATTTGATTGGATTAACCGACATCATAGAAAAGATACAATTGATGTAATAAGATTGAGATTAACCCAGAATATAATTTTACTTTATACTCATGCAAAAGTGTTTTATAGGAACTTCAAGGACACACATTTAATTCAGGCCTTTCAGAAATATGATGTGAAACAGACAAAAGATTGAGTCCTTCAAACAATCTATAAGAGCCCCACTAAAAGCAAGAACATTAATTAATAAAAATGGCAACTGAAAAGGTTAAAAACTTAATTGGACCCATGTTGTATGAAGTTGTAACAAGCAGCGATTTGAAACTAAAAATGGTTACTACGGCAGATACCAAATATGAACCGATCGCGAAGTATTGGGAATCCAAAAGCAATTAGCAGTCCACAACTGAATGTTTTAAGTGCCAATTTAATTCAAATCACATTCCATCTATATTGATAACGTATATACAAACAATAAAACACACTACTTACAATATGAGCAATGGTTTAGCATTTCTTTGGTCATTAGTCAACAAGAATCAAGAACAATTTCAGACACATCCTGAGATTGCCTATATAATCTATGACTATGGAGCAATTTCCCTATATAAATAATGAAACTGTAATTCAAAGACAAGCAGTCGTAATTTGGCATTGTGGCTAGCGGTCTCATTAAGTTGCCACTGAACACCATTGGCTGGATGGCCGCACAGAGAGATACCGAAAACTTATAGCTCCATCTTTCAAAACCAGCCTTGTGCCGAAACCAGTTTGAGTCCCATAATCCACTATGGATGATCCCACTCCACCCACCTGTCAATTTCAGTGATGGCTGACAGTGTGTAGGCAATGCTTTCACCATCGCTGCATTGCCACACGGTGTCAAATAGTGTTCATGTTGCCAAGTCTACATAAAAGACACCTCAGTTTCCAGGACAACAGTCTGTGAAACATAAAAAGAGAAATACACCAGTGCACAAAGACAGCAATTGAAAGTTGAAAAACTCCAACGCTGCAATAAGGAGCCGTGTTTATCTAAAGTAATAATGAAAAATGACTTTGCCTCTACCAAAGAAACTGCATCACCTGGTCTAGTCCCAAAACCAACTCTTTGATTTGACGCAATACAGCAAAATTGCACTACAGCAGTAACAACTCATAGGGTTTATCTAGGCTGAGGTTTCGCAGAGAGAAGTGGAGCTAATCAGATGAGATGTGGTCTTGTTCGTGTTACTGGCAGCTCTTGGGGTTCGAGTTCAAAAAGTTTTGCCAGACTTCTTTGAATAGACTACTTCAAGCTAGAGATGCCACATTATGGAGACGGTTTGGTACAACTTGATATTATATTATTTTCAAATTAGGAAGTAGGGCTCAAGCTTTAGAAATTAGACATGGGAAAAAAGACAATGAACTTTCTAAATGTAGGGAAGGTTACTTTTCTAACATACATGCATGCATTTCATTACACATATACCTATGTGTATTGAACTATATTGTGATGTAAGCCTGCCACAAAACATGTTGCTTTGTCTTCAATAGTAGCAGCATTTCATTTGCATTTCTGCACGTGCTGTGCTGATTTTCTCCTCTACCGTTACTGTAAAAGTGCTGATGCGGGCAGAGAAAAAAACTAAAATACATAGTTAATGTCAACATCTACAACTACTACAACTACAGGACCAAGCAATAACCGGACATGTAATATTTTAAAATAAACAGCATTGGAAATATCTAAAAATACACTTGTGTCACTTTCTCTGCATATTGGTCACAGCACTATTGCATCATACTTCTGAAAATCCTATATCACACACTTTATCTTAGGCTCACCAGTAAAAGTGGGGCCCTGTAATCCGATGAGATGCGGTCAGATATTTGCTCAGTCTCAGTTTTCCGACAACAAACATTTTCATAATTAAACGCAGGTCTGTTCTGCAGTTAGATTACGTTGTGGCTGGCAGAATTTCAATGTCACGTTTAAAACATGTGTAGTACATAGTAATCGTCTCACCACCTGCATGTGAAAGACAGATCTTGACAGACCTCTGAAAACTAAACAGGGAAGGGCCCGGTTAGTACTGTGATGGGAGACCTCTGGATCACCAGGTGCCACAGTGTAGTGGCTGGAAAGTTCCAAACTGTTGTTGTGTCCTGAGGCAAGAAACTTCATCCACATTACCTAGTGTGGGTCTGGTGGGTGTGAAAGGGGGGTCCGATGGCACATACTTGTTGCCTCGCTTCTGTCAGTCTGCCCCAAGGCCACTGTAGCTACAGTGGTAGCTTAACACCACTGCGTATGGAGTGAAAGAAAGCCATGTGAAGAAATTAGCAAAAGCAATGTCACAATACGAAAATGTGAACTTCAAAGTCTTTTAGTATTCTTTTATTTTCTTCTAAAAAGGTCAATATGCCATATTTTCCTTGTATGTTCATAGACAAAGGTGAAATGTTTATAATGGAAACTGGAAATAGAAAATTATGCCCTCATTAATACGTAGTATAGTATATCTTCTAGTCGTGTTTTTGTTATACTGACAACACTCTCTGCTATGTGGCTTACAGTAATGTATGAATGAAAAATACTGTAAGTAATCTTTATTTATATACAACCTTTTACAGACCAAAGTCACAAAGCAGTCTACAATTTTTTTTGGGGGGCATTTGTGTCCCACTCCACACATAGAGCGGGGTTGCCAGTACAGGGGGCACATGCCAGATCTATTGTACATGTTTTTAGTGGTAGGGAAAACCGGAGTACCCAGAGGAAACTTTCGCAGACACAAGGAAAACATGCAAACTCCACTCAGAAAGGCCCTTTTCCAACCGGGATTTGAACGCAGGACCTTCTTGCTGAGAAGCGAGAGTGCTATCCACTCAGCCACCGTCCCGCACGTACACTGTGTACATTGATAATGTATCGCTTAAATAATAGTAATTTTACAGTTTATTTAAGGAATGATTCCTTTGGACAAATATAGGCGCATATAATATAGTGGCACTTCATAAACTTTATTTTTTTTACTTTGATGTAGCAATAAAACGCAATCTAGTCTTTTCACACCAGCTGCTCATACCATGCTCCACTGACCAATTGCCAATCTCTGCGGGCCACATTCTACAGTAAAGTCAGTTAATGCAAGCACAGACAGTCTCCGCGAGGGTCCGCTCTGATCCCATCCCTGGGGTTTGATCAGCTGTTGGCACCTCCAGCTCTACCACATGGTCCACGCCTGAGAGCCTCCACACAGGACACAGCCACGGCACGGACAAGTGGCTCCAGAAACACTGAAGAATGTGCTAAACTAGGGTTATATTTGCACTGGTAATTAGGAGTGCCACTAGCGATGATTTAGACGACTAGTCAGCAATATATTTATTTATTGCAAGTCAATTGGTCACATGGCACATAACTATTGGTCACATATAACTTTTAAAACACACAAAGAACATGTGTTGTTTTTGTATGGTCCAGAAAATTGTTGATTGATTATAGCCCTAATAAAAATATGGTCCTCTGCTTGCATCTTTAATAATCTGACTCATACTTATCCTACTCATGTATATGGTAATGTAGTCTTTTTTAAAGTATTTTTCACAGTAATCAATTATAGCCACAAAAAGCTTAATCAAATTTCTATTTCCTTGAGTAATGCAGGTGACACAAAAACAATGACAACTACATATCCTGGAAGATAAATCAATAGGATATTCTGCAAAGAGATCCAGGAGAGAAACTGCTGGGTGTCCTGCATATTTCAACATCCATTTCAAATACTGTGTGTCATTACATAATATTTGACATATTTTTCAGGTCTACTAAACACTGAAATTCATGTAATGACTGTCCAATGCTGGAGAAAGATCTTGGGGATGAAGGAGTGAGTGACCAACTTGGAGGTGGGCTTGTCATTTGCTGAAATCTATTTTGGGTCCATTGCCAGTCATAAATGCCCTGTGCCGGGCCAGACGAGTTTTGTTTAAGCTCTGTTACAGCCGATCAGGTGTCCTGCTAGCCGTCAGCCACTAGTGAAGTTATTTAGGGACTACGAGCATCACGTAAGCGGTAAGCAACAGGTTTTTGAATGACTGGGACTGCTAAAGACCACATGTGCTGAGAGCATGTCATTTCAACCACAGAAGAAATAAGATTTGAATTCTCAAAACAACGAGTCTAATCCTTCAGCATGTTCAATAAATAACTCAATCTTGAGAAGAGAGCTGCGTTGTGGTCTTCAAAAAATAAAAGTGGTCCCAGCCGCACAGAAGGGTTTGTAAATACAGAGGATAAATTTCCCAAAGGGGAGAGTAAGGAATATTGTGACAGTTAAGCTACTGCTCAGCTCACACAAGGTAATAAAAGGACAATATTGTCACTCACAAATATTAGGTTCAGTGCAACAAGGCATGAGGAATAATTATCGTTTGTTTGTCCATTACAAATTGCACCATGAGGTTGATTTGAATACTTTGCAAGAAAATAGGAGTTTTGTCAACCTTATCCTTGAACAGCTATAGCTATAGTTATGTTTCATAAAAACATTCTCATTATTTCCACAAAAAACTAGATCATGCTTTTACTCAATAACTGTATATAGATTTTTAGACGTCAAAGGAAGCATTGTATGACTGTATGTAATGTCCCAACTCGCAGCTGGCAAATGCAGACATACTGTAGATCATGATTAACAACTCAAGCAGCTTTCTATGATTCCAAAAAGGAAATCAAATGGAAGAGAGATGATACAAACAAACTGGTAGTACAAGATAGCTGACGAAAGGCTTCATGTTAAAGTAGTTGAAATACATAAGATAAATATTGCAAGACAAGACAGGAGTATTAGTAATAAAAAAAACAAAAAAAAACAGAAAGTGAGTGTCTAGTATGGGGGCATTGGGAACTGGTGAACCTAGAAGTGCTGCCAATTACATGCATTGTGCTGCTGTGACAGGATGTTAAGTGGGGGTCAAGTTAAATGTATCATAGCCGTATCTAATTAATTCGAAATGCCATTGAAAACAGTCTGCTGCACTATGACTATGGGGGTATTCATTTTATATCCATGTGGTATTGAAAGAGAAAGACAACAGTGGAAAATCTCAGCACTTCTAAAATTATAAACAACGTTATGTTATAGCAATAATATGCAAGACCCTTTCATAACATACTTACCTCAGGATGTCATCTCATGCAACAGTCCAGGCTGCTATGCACAGTGCACCAACTTGTGACAACAGTAGCCTTAAAAACGAGATGTTTGTGTCATTGGCCAAACTCCAAACCATTGCTCAACCCACCTTTTTCATAATGCCAGTCTTCCTCTTGCTGAAAGTGGTGTAACGCCGGAGTTTGTTGTCAATGAACTCCATCTTTATCTTTACCCTTCCACGTGTCTTTTTCCCCGGCTTCGCTCCTGCTACTCCCCCGCTGACCATGCCGTAACCTCCTGGACACGGACCCACGTCTTGCCCCACTACGGCTGCCTCCATGTCCCTTTCCCGTTTGACCCCTCGCCTACTATCCCCAAGTGATCCCACCACGTTGTCATCATCATCCACGGAATCAGAGTCGTTGTCCGAGCCGCTGCAAAGAGGGTCTCTGTCGTGGTCAAACCTGCTCAGAGATCCTTGGGGTAGGACCACGGTGGATGGAGAGCCCAAGCCCACCACGCTACCTTGCTGCATTTGCGTCCCATTCCCCGGTGGTCTGGCGCCTCTTGGACCATTATTAGCCCCTAGCATTCCCACAACCGTGTCTCTATCGGGGTCGTAAGCGTGTCCACCTGCCCGCACCAGCACCGGGCGAACTCCAGACCCGTGTCCCGAACCCCCCCTACCCGATGCGGACCCGTTTCCAGCCGATGCTTGTCCAATTTGACTCGGTAACATCCTACGAACCCCAGCCAGAAAGCAAGTGCACGCCGCTAGTTGTTGCCGTAGTGTCGTGAATGTCTGCGCGGTGGCATACACGCCTTGGCCTGCAAAATGTAAACAAAAAGGGGCTGTAGTGGTGGGGTTGGAGACTTGAGATAATCGCGGACAAAGTTTGGAAAGTGATGCTGCCCCCAGGACGTTTCCAGCCCGCTCGCTTTGGTTCACCCTCCTCCTCTATCGCCAAAACTCACAGCACATTCTCTAAAAGGAAAACGCGAACTACACTCTGCATGTGCATCCGCGTACTGACATAGTCCATGTTTCTAAGTCAAATAGCGCGTTCAAACCAAATTTACCACTTTGAAAAATTCAATATGTCCATTTTAACTACTAATACGCGTTTTCTAATTGTTTACAAATGCGAAAAAGGACTTTAATGCTTGTCAATGGTTGAGTCAGCGGATGGATATATGCAGACCGGATCTACTTTTCTCCTTATAAAGAGCTACAACGTTTCCTTATATGGCGCTGTCTCTCCTTATTTGGTGAGTCACAAAGCTGCTCAGTGATTGGGTACAGAGCATCCGGGAAGCGCTTTGATTGGTCAGGGGGCGGGAGCTGTCAGATACCAAAATGGTTGCGCTACTGTTAAAACGTCATTGTAAACTAAAGCAATGCTGAGGGACAGGGGGGAAAGAAACATACAACTTTTCTGCGGTGTGGAGGTCTATCCAACAGTTTGCAATGATAACACATTGCCAGATTTGCCATAGCAATAGTTGATTTAATGTTAAATAGTCCATTAGATCACATGCATGTCACACAATCCTTAAAGTTCATATACCCTGTTAAATGTTTATACTAGTAATTGTACAGAAACATAGGTGGATATTAGTTTTACATCAGCCAAGTGACAGTTTGAGACAAAAGTTTAAAAAAGGGGTGGGGAAATGTCATTGAAATCATACACACACATACACACACACAAATACTCATCCACTTTAACCTACAATGAATCAATCAAAGTCAAGGTTAAAATGGAATAGCATAAAAAAGAAGCACGTTGGAAATCTCTTATTTTAGAATAAAAAAGTTATAGATTTTTTTTTTTAAATACTGCAAATTCTAGTGTAATAAATATAACGTTGTTTGAATACATCTGTATGTTAGCAGCATGAGGGTACTGTATGAGACAAAGTGGTTAAGTAAAGTGACAGTGGACCCATGTGTTTCTTTATTGCACATTCGGCTATGGTAACTACTTCTAGCTTTGTATCTGCACTGAGAAGCAAAGTATCTTGATGGTAATTTGTGAAAAGTTTTAGAACTGCTGTTTTACCCTTAACAAGGATTGAGAAGTGAAATACATGAATCCAAACCATTGACTGAATTATTTGATACATTAGATTATTGGTGAATATTCAAATCGCCTTTGGCCTAATGCAATGTTTGCAGTCCTGTGTCCAAAGTGACATGTTTATGTTCTGGAACATGGTTAGTCATTGCAAATGCAATTCACGTCAGAGTGATACTGTAGGGTCACCTAATGAAGCTAATGAAGAACAACGAGGAAAGGCTTGTGCTGAATAAAAACCAGATGGACAGATTAGTAAGCTTTGTTTTTCTTGACCTTTACATTACTCTATAAGAGGACAGCTTTGCCTGACTCACAAATGTGGAACAATGAGAAGATGTCCAATCCAAACATCATTGGTTTGAAATGAACAGTATCTTTATAGAAACTTCACCAACACAAGCATTACATCTGTTTCTGATGTTGCTTTGGGTATATAATGGTATATGAGAGTATGAGTGAGTATTGTTTAGCTCAATTTTCCCCAAACCGAGCCATTTACAGCAGTCAGGAAGCCCATGGATTACTACAGACAAACACAACCATTACTTCCAGCAAATTAGATAGTGATCTGTTAAGTACTTACACAACTAAAACTAAAACTATATAGTCATGTAACCAACAAAAGCTCTATGAAAAAATACTCTGAAGTTCTATTCCTCTCATCAATGCTGTATGTTTTAGCATTTGAGAGACTTGATAATCTGCTTTTTGTTTATCTCTGGTGTAAAAAGTGTTTGTACAGTGTTGTTCTTGGTCAGTCTAAAAGCATACATACTGTGGCCTGAGTGACAAAACTAAGAAATACAATAGTTGCAGAATATATCCAAACAACCAGATAGTGTACTTCCACTTCACTGCTGCCTGTTGAAACATGGTGTGTTTAGTTTAGTTCTTGCACCCTACTGGCCACAAAGCATACATCAGCCGCAGTCCTCCACTAAGGTTTTACACGTCCTGTAGTGTTGTGTAACCAGGCTTCTGCATTTACAAGTTCTGACTCGCTTTTGTCAATAAATGGCACAAACTTAATTTTTTTGTATCGTGCACATCTCTTCTCTTAAACACAGAGGAAAAGGGTTTTCTAGAACAGGGGTTCCCCAAATTTTCCTTGCGTACCCCATAGTCAGACAACCCTATTTTCCCCTATATATATGGAAGATTATACCCCAGGACTGTTGGATTCATTTTGGTCTGGGCCAAATTTTCCAGGGACCAGGGAATTATTGTTTTCAGCCTTTTTTTGCATCTGATTTTTTCTTCCTTCCTTCAAAATTATTGCTTTTATTAAACTGGGGGGATCAAAATGAGTACATGCTGGACTGAACAAAAACTGGAAAAAAGTAAAGCCTGTTTGCAATAACAAGTCTAAGTTTTATAACTGCATTGCATCATGTGTTCAATGTTTATAATTAAAATAAAGTATGCAGAAGTTTTGTCTAGCGAATTAGCTTTAAAATTATGTATAACATGCCATGGTCACCCATACAAACCTCATTCTATGTTTAGTTAATGTTAAGTTAATGTTGATATGTACATTATTCAAAACGACACGTTGTAAAAAACACTGTGATCCTTTATTGACAGCAGCATGAAGTATACTTTTGAATATATCAGGTTACTGTGGACATTTGCTGAAGCGGATTAAAAATGAGGACTAGGTGTGAGTTCTTAGCATTTGAAAAAAGCCTCAAAAACATTACACTAAATACAACGTATAAAACAAGTAAAAAAAACAAAGGCCATTGCATTTGATTAGATACACATACAAAAAGGGGATATCCTTCATTTTCTAGGCACTTCAGAGTGTCTCTTGACCTCCTTTGTATTTTTACATACTGTTTGGATAGTTGACCTGACACTGAGGCAGACTCTAAGAAATCAGAGCCCAAGAAGTACCTTGTTTTTGAAATAGCTAAAAAAAAATAAAAAAAGACAGAACCTTCTCATACATATTCAGGCAACTGTCAATCCTTCTACAATGTGATAGTGACAAAAAAGATGTTTAAGTGAAATTAGTGCATGGCTTTTATAGTATATGTACATATTTCCTGTTGCGGTGGTGGTCCAGTAAGAATCTGGACTGGAACAAAATAAAATGGAGAAAGTTGCAATCAAAGACATAATTGTATGTTACACAGAACTTCAGCTCATGCAGGACAAAGAGTTTGAAATGTGAACATGTTTTATGCAGTATGTCCATAGAAGTGGGAATGCACCGATACACTGGTACAGATAGTGGTGTTGAAGAAGGTCTTGTTGTGTTGTATAAGTTGTAAGATATTCTGATTGGGCCTTGTGATTTATGTAATATTATCAATTTACAGCCACATATTAACTCAGAACTTACAGAATAAATAATGATTTTGCCTTTTTCAGTTCCTTCACTAGTGTATCTGTAACTTAACTATAACTATATTGGTGCATCCCTAGTTTTAAAGATGGGGTACATAACTATTGGGAGGAATAATTAAAAGTAAAATCAGATCACTACATGCAGCTTTTAACTTAATAGTAAATAAGTTGTAAGTTATCTCAAAGTCCCAAAACGCTTTACAACTGTTGTGGGCATTTTTCGTCCAACTCCACCGAGATGGGAGCGGGGTCGCCGTGCAGGAGGCACAGGAGAGACTTATTGTTTTTAGTGTTAGGGGAACTGGAGCACCTGGAGAAAACCTAGGCAAACTCCAGGCTATGTGCACAAGTTGTAATCACTGCGCCACTGTGCTGCCCCATTAGACAACATTGAGTCTTTTATACATTTGTAAGACGAGCCCTTGGAAGTCTTCATTTGTCACTTTGGGTCAAGTTACATGCACGTGAAAACTAATAAAGCAAAACTGTTTGGTGGATTTTATTACATAGTTCCATTGGTTTGTGGTTTGAAAGCTCGGTACCCCAGCTTTAACTATTTTAGGACATCGATGAAATAATACTGCATTCATGAAACCCAATCTTTTTCACAAGGTAGTGAATTGTGCAGTTAAATTCCACAATTCACTGTAACATTCGCTGAGTTTCAATTGTTTTGACAAATGACAACATGAGTATATCGAACAATCCTTCTGCTGGAGAACTGATGCACTGATACAGTCGATTTAAAAGGTTTTTCAATGTTAGGGCAGATTAACCCGGTTATAATTAGTGCCTTATAAGCACCTCAGTTAATACAACACACTCAAAAAATATACAAAAGCCCATTCTGGCACAGCCTCTTATTTCTTGGCTACAAAACACAAACATCATCTTTTTTTTGTCCCTTATGAGATACCGTAACATTCAGCAGCTCTCCTCACTGTGAGCAAACCCCTCCACTCCTGCATTTGTAACATTTGGTGGCACAAAAATCTAAACTTTGGAGTCGCGCTTGGTCCCACAATGGTGAAGATGGAAGTAGATGCTCCAAACATGATTGATCGGGCTTCAATGAAGTCACTTATAAGCACCTTTTTCTTCTGATTAGGAGTGATTCTGACGTAGGCTTTCGATTTGACCGTACAACATTGGCCATTGATAGCCGTATTAGATGTTGAGGGATAGGCACCGAGGTTGTGAGGATCCAAAAATGCAAACAATCTTCTATGGGGCGAAGTACAGGAGGCAGACGGGATCAGAAATACCACAGTCTTAAATAGGGCCGTCCATGCTGTGGCTAAGGCAAAGTCTCATGGTTGAAATGCATATAAAAAGTGTCCCCTCCTCGACAATCTTCCCTGAAATGTGTAGAGTAATAATAATCCAGCATCAAGTCTCTTTAATATATGAGGAGGAGGGACAGAGGAGTTGGTAGATGTCTCGTTCAGACTTTGCTGTCGGAGGGGATTTCTCCCAGCGTGTGCACGATGTCGGTGAAGGAAGGGCGCTCCTTCAGGCTCGGGGCCCAACAACGCAACATGAGTTTGTAGATTCTGGACGGGCAGTTATCGGGAACGGGCAGCTTCAGCTTTCCCGACTTTAGACCTGTCCAAGAGAGAAAAGAAACATTTGTAAATTATCCTGCTACTAGTGTTCTTCACATCTTCGCCTACTCCCTCCTGCTTTGTATCCAATAGAGCATTGGTGTCAAAGTCAAGGCCTGATCCAGTCCACAAATGAATTACCTTGGCCATCCGGGATGATATTTGATTAGTATCAGAACCGGACTGCACAGTGCCATAAGAAAGTATTGGATTATTCATTTAATGTTCAGGACATGCGTTATCTCTTTGAAGGAAGTTTGTTTTTGTCTGTGAGCCTGTGGAAAATGTTTTCACTTGAAATTACTGACAGAGCCAAACAAAAATATTGGAATATTACTCCAATCATTAAATAAAATATGGTACACTGTGTTAAGTCTTGGTTCAATAGGTTCCCATGGCAGGGGTCAGCAATAATCAGCCTGTTTGTAAGGGCACGTTTGGTCTTGACAATAAAAAAAGTACATACATGTTATTTCTATATGTCTATATGGAGCATACAAAAACCTCTCTGACTCCTTAACACACGGAGAAGCCCACAGAGCAGGACATCTGCATGTGAGGCAGCGCTTCTCTTCCATTTCACATCAATAGATCTTCACTGATCTACACTCTTTCTGTTTAATTCACTCTGCGGTGGGAAGAAGCGGCGCAGTCCGGGACATATAGTGCAGAAGTTTGCTGTTTATGTGTCTGATTTACTTCCTTTTGACTTCGGCAGCAATATAACCATGACATGCACATTTCGAAAACAGCTTCAGTCTCACGCAGCGAGACCTGATACTGCTGTGTGAGGATTTTATTGACGAATAAAACAAAGCACAGAAAAACGAATGAGCACGGATAAGTTGTTTGGAAGTGATTTCTACTGAGAAAGAAACAGGATGAGGCCACACTGACACAGACTTGTCACTATTAGTTCCTCATTTTATGTTTACTTGTTTGCTAGTCAGCTCTATTAAAGTGGAATTTACCTGTTACACAATGCTGTAACAGGTAAAATGTGTGTGTGTGTGTGTCATTGGTTTTATGAAAATTTGAAAATAAAAAATGTATTACAAAAAAAAAGATGTGTTATAATTTGTGGCTTCAGACTATTTTCTAAGCTCTTTTAATATCAAGGTTGCCAACCCATAGTACTGGAGCAACTAGTCACTTTGTTCATAGGATTGAAAGAGGATCCAGACTAAAGCAGAAGCCGTGTCTCCGGATACAGACCTTCGAGCACCTCGTCGTCGCTGAGTTTAACATGTGGCATTTCCCCCAGACTGAAGACCTCCCACATGAGCACTCCGAAGGCCCAGACGTCCGACTTTGTGGAGAAATCATCCTCAAACACCGACTCCGAGGGCAGCCATCTGAGAGGGATCCACGCCTGTCTGTAGTGATAGTACTCACTGCAAAACAACACAAGACAATGTTGACAGTGGAAAAACAGTATTTACAATAGTTCTTTTCATACTGGGGTGAAAGCTGCCACAACCAAGGGTACATCCGACAATCTTAAATGCGTCTAGAATTCCTTTCTGCTGATCTGTCCGCTGGAAGGGATAAGGACCATCCGGATATGACACGTTTGAACATAGGAAAAGTAGTGCTAAAAAAGAATATAGGCTAATAAATCATCATTCCTCACAGCAGCAAAGAGCTATGAGGAATCCCAGGAGCAAAAACCAGTCCCACAGTTTCAGAAAACAAGACAATAATACAGTAAGAATAACAGATAGTCATTAAAGGCAGAGACTGCTCCTTTCCCTATTGCTCCTTATTGTTGACAGAAGCAACAGAAGAGCAATGATAAGGAAGAGGAAGGACGGGGAAGGATTTGTTTTTTGCCATTTGCTGATGTGCTGATGGTGTTCCCAAATAATTACCATCTATAGACGAATCAAGCACAAACTCATCTGAGATCTGGTTATCCTCATAATAATAGACTCTTTAAAAAGATTGTGCTGTATTGAGATCTAAGACTTCATACTTAGATTATCACGGTACATTTAGTCCACTTTCATTAATCGTATTGAGCTAAAACTACTTAACAGAAACCATTCATACTATCAATAAGGTGGGTGCGTTATAAAGTCATTTAGAGATTTTTAATGGTGAAAATACATTTTTGGGTCATACAGAGACAAACCAAAGTAATATTGTTGTGAATGGTTACTATGCCAACGTCCTCCATCGCCCAGTGCTTGTACCTGTTGTAGACGTCTTTGCTGAGGCTCAGCGCGGACACTTTGACGCGGCGTTGGCTGTTGATGAGACAGTTCCGAGCAGCCAGATCTTTGTGCACGAAGCGGTGATTGGACAGGTGCTCCATGCCATGAGCCACCTGGGCACAGATGGAAACCTGCGGGAGAACAATAGCCTGTTATCAACCCATTATCGCATGAAAGCCAAGCTCCTACACATCGATCTTAGCAGTGTGAATGTGGTGGACATGGCAACCACGTACCAGGAAGAGCTATGAGCAATTAGTCTTAGCTAACTTTTAAAGATACATTTCAGTCGTACACAGCCTTGTAGAGTACTTTTGTATCTGAACAAGGGCATCAATTGAATGGAGCTTGTCCATTCAAAACCATAGATTTTTTCTCATAGACTTCAGAAAATCACACCATACAGCATTTAAACCAATGGAGATTTTCAAATGTAAAACAGAAACATTTGAGCTAATTAGCAATACAGAGATAAAGGTGCTTTTAATATTGTTTCTGCTTTTGTATCTCTATGAATCAGCTTCACAATTTGCGATAAACAACGATGGATGTCATCCAGGTAGGTGAGACGAGAACAGTAACTTAGACTGTATGACATTAATCAGTTTCAAAATAAGCATTTGGTGTCAGTTTAGTGTTCGCCTGGGACTTGAGGACGTGTCATAAATGTTGTACTTACTTTGGTCTTGGTGCTGAGAGGTTGTGTTTTGACCTTGTCGTCTTTGCTCTTTGATATTCGGAGGAACTGCTTGAGATCTCCCTAAAATACAGGATTTACATTTCTCACAAAAAGAGCCAAACAGGGCAGATAGATAAATAAACTCTCAAATGATGGATTTGACAAATGAATTACACTACAATAAATTCAACAGATCTTTTTAAAAATAATTGCTTGAGAATTGATTGATTTGCAAAAAGAACAGACAGGTTTTTATTGCAAACACAGAGGCATATTTCTTCCATAATTAAGTGAGAAATTGCTTGCTGTTTACAGTATGTATTATGACTAAAACAAGACATAATGTCCTCGTTCCAAATCTGTGAAATACTCATCAAGAAAAATACAATACGTACTTCAAGCACTATTATTCATTCTTAATGTTGTGTTAAAGCCTAACACAGAAGCATATTTTCATCACAACAAAGCCTAACTTGAACAGTTTCCTAAATGCATTTTGTTTAGCCCAACAGAAAGAGACTGGTTTAAGTAACATTTTGATAACAAATCAGACCACGACATTTGATATTTTGCATACTGATTAAATTATAACAGAGGCCAAAAGTGCATGCATGCCAGAACGAGTGATAGGACCGGGTTTGAGAGTGAGGATTTAAAACATCATTAATATTCGTAGTTTGGCACAACAGCCTTGACAGTGTGCGTGTGTCTTTACCAGGTCGTAATACTCCAGGATCATGTAGTGGGGCTCCGTCTCCTTGCTCAGCCCCAGGAGCCGCACCACGTTTGGGTGACTGAGTTTCCCGAACATTTCTGCTTCTCTGCGGAAGTCCTGCTGCAGCGACTCGTCTCTGCTCTGGAGACTTTTCACCAGAACTACGGTCTCCTCCTCTCCCTCCACGATGCCTTTGGCCTTGGACAGGAGCACCTCTCCAAACTCTCCTTTGCCTTAAAACACGGAGGACACAGTGCTGTATTACATTTTTTTTTAATCAACTGTGTATCTGTAATTATGCAGTTTGCCATCTAGAGATCCATCAATTTCTCTCGTCTTTGTCTAAATGTATTCATATGGCTTGTGCTTGTAAAAAAAAAAATTGTTTAGTTTAACTCTGTATGTATTTTCCTACTTCTACCACCAGGGGGAGGTGTTGAATCTTTTATTTTTTGTCAGCATCAAGCATACACGGTGTAAATAATGTAATTTTACAAGTAGATTTACAAGGCAGAAGGTAAATTAACAAATCAGGCTTTATAAATTGTTCCAATATTTCTGAACAAATACAAAAAAATCAATTTTATATACTTGTAACTACACTGCCACACATGTTAATGAATGTAAATATAAGGCAATGCAAGATATTTGAGAAAACATACTGCATATGTCGTAGGTTGGTTCTTAGTGAATAAATATTTGTTTTAATTGGGGTTTGAATTTACAGAACTGGTCCCTGAGTTAATGGTCTTTTTGTAGATGAAGTTGCAGTGTTTTGTACCTAATGTGGTGATGGTTTGCAGATTGGCTCTGGGAAAGTGCAGCTTGTCGTTGTTGATGTGACTGTGGCGTTTCTCAGTCGTGGCCAAAGTTCCCATGTTCGTGAGCGCCACCTCCTCCTGGATCTCTGTCGTGGTGTGGCCGTTCTGCTGCACGGCCCCTCCTGCATCAACAATACACGATTATCAAATACAATTGCTTCAGTAATCAAAAATGGCAACTAGTATTAACAACATTATATAAAACAACATTAGAGTGTGCAGTTACCTTTAAAGCCCCATAATTATCAGCTTATAGCAATTCACAAAAATATAAATTATTATTATTTATAACATATAAAAATTATAAAACATTATAAAAAATTGATGGATGGAGGTTTTTTTTTTAACAACAAATAAAATATATTTAATAATAGATATTTCTAAATTAGCAAAATACTTTGACAATTGTGGCCTTTTCAATTCATTAAGCGCTTTGAAAATACAATTTGATTAATCTCATAGCATAATTTGTGGTGAGTACCTGACATAAGCACTAGATGGCAGCAGAGCTATACGAATAACACCACACACTTCTCCTGACATTCAAACCCTGTCTACAACAAATTGGACCGCTCCAAAATTATATGTCATATTTTACTACAATTTTGACAAATTACTACCATTTGGAAATTTTGAGGCACATGATATGTAAAACTGTTGACATCACATTTGGAATTCTAAATTCTACAGTGGGCAAAAAATATTCTATGTCAAATCGCAGTTACTTTATGAATAAGATCATGATTTGGTTAGAGAGAGTTAGATGTGTTTAAATTGTAAAATTAGTTTACTGAAAAAATAGTGCCAAAACCTTGGTTAAATTCTGAGTTTCCCCGAGTGTGACGTCAACATAGAACTTCCTGATTTTCTGATAATTGCCAACATATTTTCATCATAAACTAAATAAAAAAAAACCCTGTCATATACTATTGACCCAAAAACGCACCATTGAGGCACTCCATCTCGGGCTCCTCTCCGTCGCCGCCCTTCTGGAGTCTTTTTGCACTGCGTCTCTTCTTGCAGTAGAACATGAGTCCCAGCACCACAATGATGTAAGCCACGGCGGCCCCCACACACAGCCCGATGGTCTGGATCATCTTATAAGGGGCTTTCTCTTCGTCATCACTGTCTCGGTTGTGTATTGGTTTATCTGGCAGAGAAATGACAGATTAGGCCATGATCAGAAATATAGTTCTTTTTTAATCCATCACCTTTATATGAAATCAATGTGCAACGGGATCATGAACAATGACGCTCAAAAAGTCTCATTGTACCCTTTTGTGCACTGGACAAAAAAAATCAATATGATATGAACCGTCATTACAGATACCAAATATTAACCTTATATTACTGTTTTAAACTTTTACGCACATGTTCCATCCAGTTTTTTGAGATGATTGTAGTTTAGAGTTGCACAATAGTTAGTTTAAGACTAATTTCACGCTTGCTTTCAATCTCCCTTCGAGCATTTTGCTTAGGGACTTGAAATCAATCTGAATCATCTAACAATCACAGTTCAACCAGTTGCTATTGTGGAAAGCTTTGTTGTGGACACTAAAAATCAATATGCTGCTGCTAATTTCAGAATACTTGCTTGTCTGAAGAGCGCCACACTTATGAATGCACACATGTCTGCACTCATTGATGTCCCATACTCATTAACCTGTCTAAGTCTGCCAGGCGAAAGCTGTCAGACGCTGGATATATAATTACCACTCTGCACTTGACAGAATGTGAAAGCTGCTGGGAGTCTGATGGTGAAGGGGCTCTTTGTCAAAAAAGGTCACACTCACCCACGACGTAGAGCTGAGCTACGCGGCTTTTGATGTTACAGCTGTGTCCGGCCACGCAGGTGTATCTGCCCGTGTCCTCCGCACTGACTTCTGTGATCAGCAAAGAGCCATTGGGCATCTTCTGAAATCTGCACAAAAAACAACAACCCGATCAGGACTACAAACAAGGAGCATGGAAAGTATTTTTTGTTGTCTGATGTATTAATTTAAACAAGTCCTTTTCTTTTTTTTCAAACATCACTTTTTTGCTTCCATTTTTAGGTGCTGAAAGCCGGGAATGTCATTTTCAGACTACAAGAAACTGTTTTAAGTATTTCTATTAAAAGTATTCAGCAAATGCAAGACATATTTCAGATGTCTCTTTTCTTTCCAGAAAAAAAGGACAATTATCATAAATTACAATTAAAGAGAGTCCCACCCAAACCACAAAAAACTGAACTATGCAAGTTTGTCGCTCTAGAAAAAAGTTTCCACATGCATGTCTCTTTGGCCTCATCTTTAAATCAGCTTTTTCAGACGGAAAAGTAAAAAAGAGAGGACCACCCTCACTTGGCCAATCAGCTTTCACCCCAAAGAATTAAAAAGTGATTCTCATGGCTGTTTTTCAGTATGTTAAATAGAACATGTTTTCTAATTAGAAGAAGACAGCATGTTGTGGTCTAATTTTACTTGTACTTTCTGTTGGGACAAAAAACATTAAATATTTATGACCAAAACAGTAAGATAGTTAGAAAGTTAGATACCCCAGATTCAACTTTGCACTACAGACCCTTTCTATCAAACAGTGCTAACAAATAACAAGGAGTTAGTAATTGTCACTGTATTTTACACTGAGGAAATGATATCATCTTTACCGTCTGTTTTTGATGATGTCCAGAGGCTTGTCCTTGACGGCCCAGTGGATGTAGGGCTCTGGGTCTCCTGTTGCCTGACAGTGGAGGATGGCTGTGTGGCCTTGGTAGACTGTGGTGTTGTCTGGCTCCACTTTGAACCGGATATACACTGAAAATACAGTTATAGAAAAAATATACTGCATTTATTTCGGGCCATGAATTTTATAATGTGATTATTTACTTTGGAATTTCAAGTCTTACAATGCAAAATGGAATATTAAGATGAAAAAGTATGGTCAAACTTGTTATACAGGATCAACAAAACAAAAACCTCTACTTCTACTGAAGTGCTGAATTTATGAATACATTTTTTTTCAATATAAAACATTTTGTGCTGCAAACACCGCTACTGGAATTTCACTGGAAAACTAATTTAGAGGCATTATTCTTGTTTTAAAATGCTCTGAATATGGCGTAACACAATACAGATTCATCATAGTGGACTCTCAATGCAATAATGCAAAAGTGATTGACAAAATGGATTCAGAGTTAACATCTGAGTTTATACTTTCATGTGTGAAGTATATTTCAGAGTCAATATGATAAGAATCAAAACACTTCTTTATACTTTGAATGAGGACATACATACAAAGCATGAAATATGGTTGAAGATGTTTTGTTAGCTGTATATTTAAGTATAATTATACTCAAACTTACTACAATAATTGTCATACATTTTCTTTTTGATATTAGTAGATCTGGGTGAAACGCAAGTCTTGCAAATTGAGTATGTGTTGACATTTAAAGATTTAAAGATCAGTCAATTAACAATCTTTCAGTGTATCATAAAATGTGACTGTATGTATTTACCTGCCACATTGAGCAGCACCAGAGCTCGTATCTCCCCCTGCAGGCGGTTGGAGGCAATGCAGGTGTAGTTTCCAGCGTCGCTGCGAACGACTTTGGTGAAATGAAGCTGGCCGTTTTTCTGCTGCACATGAGCGGGAAGCTCTCCTCCGTCTACAACACAAATGGAGAAAGGACAATGTCAAAGACGGGGCTTTTTTTGTAGAGTTTGCATGTTCTTCTCCCGTCTGCGTAAGTTTTTTTTTATTTTATTCTACCACTAAAGCCATGTAGAATAGGTTGAATGAGTGTTTGTGGGTGTAACTGTGGGACTACAGATGGAAATTATCTTCAAAAAGCCACAATCTATTCTATTAAGTTAGTGCCGCTAATAAATACACACTGTCTCATCCAAATAAACAAATACAAAATAAATGTATTGTTATAATCAATTGTATCTACTCTATTGTATCAAACAATTAAATACACATATTTTCGTCATACTAGACAAATCAAATCTAGAAATCCTCTTGCAACACCCACACGTGTGTGTTTGGGAACTGCTGCTCTATCTGACAGATTTACAGCCGTGCGAGAAGAGTGTAACCCTTTAGGCGCCATAGTTTATAGTGAAGAAACAGTCGAAAGAGTAGTAGTAGAAAAGAGGGCATTACGGAACATACGTTTATAAACAAAGAATGGAAAAACGAAACAAAGCAAGGAAGGATTTTGAAGGAAGCAAAGCCAATGCATACACAGCCCCCTGCAGTCATGGGCTCAGAGTACAAATTCTGCAACTGTGGCACATAGGGGTAAATTTGGTCATGTGACAAATGATTGAGTTGTAACATTGATAAATAAATACTAGGATTTTTCTTTTATCGCTCCCGCTCCTCAAAAGTGATCATGTTGAGAAAAAAATTAACATTATCCCCAAGTTTAGGCTTGTTTGGCTGGTAGTTAGGGCCTCAGTGACATGTGGATGCTTAAGACTGATGATGAATCTTTCCCTCTCCTGGAGCATGTTTTCACAACTCCAAAAGCAAAATCTGTCATCATTAGGAACAGGACATAGAGGTGCCACCAGATACTTCCAACTCTACTTTATCTGATTTAAGTCCGTCACTAGTTTGGACTTAGCAAGTTTCAACAAGTTCATATAAATAACAAAAACATGTAGAGATTGTTGCACCTATGTTTTCAACTCAACTTCCCAACATTGTGAAATAACCGACTGTATATAGATGGACATTGCTCACCCACTAGGTCAATGAAGCCCAATAGGGAAGTGCTCATGGACAAAGTTTTGCTCCAACCCCCTCTGGCTCATATCGACTTACATTTAAAAGCATACTGCTCTAGATCAGTAATCATTTGTGTCACACTGTTTTTATTTCAAAATATTGACTTTGTAATTCTAGACATGAGCAAATTGCCTTCATTTGCAGGGAAAACTCCAGCTTGCCTTAGCAACCATTGTAGCAACAGATCTGTTATGGTGTGAAGCTAACCCCTTCGGAACAAATTAGCATAAAAGGAAATTGGGTCCAGCTAGCACATGTTCAAATCTCAAACACTATGGGGACGTCAGCACAAATAGTTAGTCCATTCTTAACATTCAGTCAAGGCTAATAACGGACTTCAACAACTACTACATTGAATTCAAATATAACAGCCTATTCTCCTGAGTGTGTGTGCAGCGGCAGAGACCTGCTTTGGTCCAGCGGATGTTGGGGTTTTCTCTCCCGGTGGCAGAACATGTGATGCTCATCTCTTTGTCCAACTCCAGACACTGAACGGGCTGCGGCGTCGGCGTGAACTTCAGCTTCTCTGTAACAGAAACATACACTTAGGAAACGATGAATGCGGTTTAAAAAGGAGGTATGTGGTGGTCCTTGTACTTGTTTAACCTTGGTTGAATAGTGTAGTCTTTCCATTAGCTTACTTAACTTACTTTTATTAATTCTCGATTGTACAGGCTTTAGTTCTCCCCCAAAAATGTATTGACTGTACAGAAACCTATTTTTTAAAGCTATTTCTCTGTAATCACTCCAGGTCAAAGGTTTAACATTTTAAATTGGTTTCATTCTGCAGTAGATTTGGTGCACCTCATCAAATTAAATACATCTCATAAAACAGCATTGCATATATCTGCAGACGCTATGTTTAACTTTTTTATGAAATTGTCAATTTTAGTATGTTTTTTTAAACCTAGCAATAGTAAAGTGGGCTCTCTGTTCATCCCAATAAAAGGAATGAACTACTGCTTATTTCAGAAGCCGCAAAGACGACCCAATAGACTATTCAATGCATTTTATTCAGCAATACATTTAAATGTGTCAAAGCACCTGAGACGATAAATTCACACTACGTTGCAAATCAAGTTGGGACAAAAACACGAATTCAGCGATCTATTTCAGTTTACGATCTGATAAACAAAAGCTGTCCAGACACAACTTAGGCGTGTCAGAAATCCCTCTCCAGCTCAAAGATAACAGCCCGTTGTACAGATAACATATTCAGGTGTGGAGGTTTCTATAAAAGTGCTGTACATAAATCAGATTTGCACCTCTGTGGGTGTCCTGAACGACTGCAGATTCTATTTTAGCGGAGTCGACTCACGCCCACACAAGCCCACGGGCTCCTCCACATGTGCATCTCTCATCTCCAAGATAACTCTCTACTGAAAACCTAATATGCACTCTTCTCCCACTACGCGCTCGTGTGTGTAAGAAATGTACACACCTTTATATGGACTGTAAAAATATAGGTCTAGTACAGTTATTCTCAAAGTGTGGTCCAGGTACAATTATGTTTTTTGTAGTATATACATTGCCCATAGTAAGTGCACAATAACACTGCTGTTGGCCAATTAAAGGGCGAGTATCCAACTTCTTTTTTTTTTTCATTAATATTTCTTCATTTTCAACACTTTGGACGTTTAATTCACACATTGGACTATATTGCTGTCGCTGTCTTTGAAACGGACATAACCAAATTGCGGCGATTATACATAAGCTTGGACTGTGGACCATTGACTTTTGCTTTAATCAACCAAACCAACAGTGCATCCTGTAAATATTGTATATTCTGCATACACAAAGAATCATTGGGAACGCTGATAACTGTCGGTTCATATTAAGTAATCACTTTCCTCCCAGTTCCCAGTGTCATCCAGCCAACTTCAGCTCTACCAATATAAGCATGCTATACCTCGCTATGAAAGCGCAGAACCTCTTGAATCCAATTGTTGACTTTATTTGTTTTTGATTGTGTCAGAAAATTTTATATATCAATTAAGCTGTGGTGAGATAGTTAATGCTAGTAAACTTCTGTCAAATGTGAATCAATGCGGCGGACACACCCTTTTATATCTCACAACCGCCCAGAGACAGCCACATCTGGGTTGTCAGCGCCTGGACAAGTCTGGTGAACCAAAATATTACTAGAACGTTTGGACAACCCTGATGTCATGTGCACAGCGGTCGTACCCAGCACAGTGACGCGCGCCTGTCCCGACAGCCTCCCGGCCACAGTCTTGGCCTCGCAGCCGTAAATCTGTCCGTCGTACACTTCCACATTGTTGATCCTCAGCGTCCCGTTGGGAAACAACTTGAAACGATTGTCCTGAAATGAAACAGTTACACAGGTAAGCTTTGTTTAATTCAACCAATTAAACTTAGTCATTAAAAGTAAAATGTTACTGTTTATCACACATTGTTCATGTCATTTATGTATTTAACTAAGAAAACAACACTATTCAATGAAATTGTTGGTCTTTTTATGTTTCGTGATTACAGGAATTCTCAAACATAGCATAAAAATAATGACAATCCCATTCAGCATGACTTTGTATCAACAAAGAACAAAAACACATCTAAAGCATTCATCCATCCCTCTTCAAACCCTAAACTGTTAATCTGATTATGGTTTTGCACGTTCAAATATATTGTGCAAGTTTGTAATGAATATTAATAATAACAATCATCATCATCATCATTTAAACACTCGTTATAGAAAATACAAAATAAATGTACAAATTACAAGTTGTGATGATTGTATAGTCTGGTTAATGGTTATGATTTTTAAAAAGTGGATTCAGTCGGTGTCACTCGTGTGTGCTGTGGATGCAAACCTCGTGGGAGATGAACAGGTTGTTCCGGAGCCACACCACCTCTGGTTCCGGAGTGGCCTGAGCGTGACAGTGCAGGAGCCCAGGTTTCCCCTCCTCAAACTGACTGTCCTGGGGCCGCATCACCCACACTGGGGCAGCTGCAGGGACAAGGAAAGGAGCAATTAGCAAAGATACAGACAGAAAAAACTGTACATTTATCCAAAAAGAAAACTCTCCAAGTAAATTTGGTTCAATCCACAGTTTGAATTAATTTGTTTTAACTTTTGCAATGTCATGGTGGCATGCAATAGGGGGTCCTATGAGAGGTTCCCCTTAACCTAAGATTGGATGGATTTAAAGCTGGGGTACCTCATTTTCAAACCACAAAAAATGTAACTATGGAATTCAATTCAACCCACTTGTTCCTCGCGCTCAAAAAAGTTAGTTTTCACATGTTTTTTTTTTTCTGTCACATTCCTAGATCAGCTTTATTAGACAGAAACGTGAAAAAGAGGGGCGCACCCATCCCCCAGCCTATCAGCCCAAACCATTAAAAAGTGATTCAGTATGCAAAAGATAATATGTTTTAAAATCAGATATAGACAACATGCTGTGGTCTGATGTACACAGCGCTTTTCTAGTTTTAATCTACATCCTCATTTCCAGCTTCAAAACAAGAATATTCTCTCCTAAAAACTGCTTGTAGCATTATACTATTCATATTAGCATAAACAGCAGTGCTACTTACTGGCCACAGTGAAGGTGACCTCCTGCGTGCGTCGTCCGGCTTTATTCTCAGCCACACAGGTGTAGACCCCAGAGTCTCCGGCCTCAGTGGGACTGAAGACCAGGTCCAGCCCGTCCTGGTAGACCCGCCCTGGTTCTGTGGGCACGCGCTGACCCCCCCTCTCCCACCACACCTCAGGCTCCGGTCGGCCTCTCGGCGCTCTGCAGGGGACCCTCTGCAGCGTGTCGGCGGTGAAGACCTGAGACGCCCGTGAAACCATGTCCTCGATCTCTGTGAGAGGAGAAGCAGAGAGGGAAAGTATTTAATAGTTGTTTTTCAAAAGGGGAAATGCAAAATATATCCACAGTTTTTATACAATAGTAGTACTATTAACAATAGTTATTTTTAAAGCGATATATGCAACTTTCATTATATTCTCTTGTGAATGTGGTGAACAAATTAAAGCCGGGGTACCAAAGTCTCATAAAGGAGTCCTATGAGTCACTACTTTACACTAATTTCTACAATACTCATCTTGCCTTCAGTCACTTGGGAAATTGTCTATTTTGTGTCTACAAGCATGAAGCGGAAACTTAAACAAAGAAATTGATTTTCTCCACAGAGATAATCATCGCCCCCATTTTCAAAGCCGCTGCAGCGCGACTGATGTCAATTTCATGAGAAAAACGAAGAAGAAACGAAGAAGAGATCATTCTGATTTACAGCACTGGTTAAGATGTTTCCGAATTTGTTAGAAGAAAGAAATGACATTTGTGACAGGGGCCAGTGGAGAGTGTAGAGAAAAGGCCAGCAGTGTCAGGCTCTTGTTAGGAAAGGCATGAACGAATCCATTTAAAAGTTGGTAGATACTAAAAAATGTTATTCCTCATGTTGGGGACGAAGAATGTGCATGTGCCAAATGATTTCAACAGACTGAAGGATCAATCGTTTGTAAGGGTTATGTACGTGTGAATATTTGTCCTCGCCATCTGTGTCTCTTTAAATAAAACATTACTTTGTGCAATTGTTTGACTTGAACTTGAATGATCTCTGCTCTGATAAACTACAGTGTAACATGAAATCAATATTATGTGTATTCCTTCAATTGTCCAGCAATGATCCATGGGACGACTTTTGAAAGAATCATTATGAAAAGCTCATAATAGATTTTTCTACAAATGCCTCTTCTAATCAATCGCGGGACTGGGGTTGTTTTAACGCACAATTTTAGGACGATAAAATAAGCAACACTTCAGAGCCGATTAGTGATTATTTCAGTTCACAAAAGGTCAGTGATTATGTGAATGTTTCTTACATTTGACCAAAAAGCGTAAAGGTATTTTTTAAAAGAGTTTTAAAAATACTAGTAAATAGATTTTAATTTCTGTTGGTGTTATTATAGAATGATCAGACACATTAAACCTCTCTTCAGCATGTTGTAAGTCCATAGAAGGTTCAAATAACGATTAATAACTGTTTAAACAAATAAATTAGTTCAAATAATTCAATAATACATTAGATTTTCATGATAACAATAAATCGATTCACGTTTTCTACATTCAAACAAGACACATTAGCTACAAGATATTCTGTACATGCAATATATTAGTCTCAAAAAAATCTAAAATGAAACCCATTTTTCTATGAATCAGTCGACAAGAAGTGGTTCAAATCCGGAAAAGACAGCTGCCACTGACCAGTAGACTCATAACAGTAATTAGTAAACCATAATTATTCAAACTATAGTCAATTTTAAAATCATAAATGAGTTTCTACAAACTGTGGGCAAATTATCAACACGTTGCCTGTAATGAGTCTGTAATGTCTAGTTACACATTGTAAGTTGAATACAGAAGTAAATGAACTTTTGAACGTTTCATTTTCAGAGTTTTCATATGAATATCATGACACCCATTTACAGTATGCCACAATACCAGTAACAGTGAATTGAGGGCTATAATAATAATACAGTATAGCAGATTAGATCCAGCAGCATGAGGCCACACAAAGGTTAAATATATATAGGTTCTTCACACTGAGCAGGCGGTAACTACAACACGTGCGAGATGGATTAATCAAACATGACAGCTCCTACATCCTCTGGTATGCGACAGACTGTACCCTTGAATACTTTTGACAACTGGGAATGCTAAAAACTTTAAATATGAAACTTTATCTGTGTGTGCAACCAAGCAATAACCTTCAATTATAAGGATGTAAAAAAATCCTTTACTCGGATATCTTGCAATGTTGAACAAATGGGCTGAAGCTATGGTGCAATGTTTCTCCAAAAACTAGCATGACACAATCCTGTATAATGTCATAAGGGATTAGCATCAGATTAAGTGAATTACGGTGTTTAAAAAGAGCCATGGTTCACTGGATTAAAACTGCAGATACATTTGCTAATCTCCGGTCGCACTGGGAGGATGAAGGGTGGAAGTTTGTAGCAAATGGAGAGTTTAGGACCAACATAGAAAGTACAGAGATAATCCTATTGGAAATATTTGAGTAGCGTGCACTTGTGGGGGAGAATGCGAGGCCGATTAGTAAGATGAGAAGATGCTGTGGTGCTGCTGAGCCTGTCGGGGTTAAACGCCAGTGTGGCCTTAAACTTGGAATAGAAAACCAATTAGCTGCTGCTGTTAAAGCTGTAGCATTTCTTCTGTGACAATAAACAAATGCAATTATTAGGTGTGTGAGAGGGGATTGGATTCACGGGAAGATAAGCAGACTTTGTGCAATATATAATGGCTGCTAGAGTCCTATTACAACTGGAACTTTTGCACATTTTGTCATGTATAAAACATTAACATAAATGTGTGATGAACTCAGAGAAAGGCTGGATGAATACATATGAATACGTGTTCACAGTTGTGTTTCTGTGTTGACAAAAATGAGCAAAATTTCCAGTTGCGCTGATACTCAGAAAATTAGATATTCGTTCAAAAGTCCATTTACTTTACATAATTGGCTCAGAGCTTGTAAAAAATAACATTTTGAATACAGAATGTAATCCATAATCATTAACATAATAACAAACAAAGGCTTGGCATATGTGTAATGAGTCTATATTATATTGGTTTCATATTGTACGTTCAATTACAGAAATAAATACACTTTTAAACGATCATAAGTTTCACCTGTACTTTTGCCAGCCACTGTATGCTGTTTAATTTGAGTCACACTGCTATTTGGGCTTCCACTTTCTCATAGTGGTTAAAACAATAATTTCACTCACTTTTCTAAACATAGATCTACGGTGTGCAGAGTTGGTTTTGACCGGAAACAGATGCAGTTTACTCAAGATGCTGAGAATTTCTTGCAGGTGAAGAATTCGGGCTTACAAAAGTCCAAAAGGCCAAACAGAACAGCTGAGGCTCCCAAACAGGTGGTTAATCCAATCTGCTGCTAAAGAAGTCTCTGAAGAAATGGCCCCAACATGCTTAAAATTCATGCACTAGCGATACCAACGACTCAAAATAACCTGTACTTTAATTTTTGCATCGCTAGTAGTAAACAAAAAGTTCCCAAAGTTGCTTTACAATGAGCATTATGGTTTCACTATAGGTTTAAAAAAGGCCCAGGGCAGCAGTAAGATACGCTCTCTATAGCAATAAAGCCAATGAATAGAGATTTATAGAGGTCATTTTGTAGTTATAAGACAAACTTTTATTGTCAAATCAGACGAGTCCCTATAGAAGCTCAAATTTTACGTGAGCATTAGCCTGACCATCCAAAAACTCCGGTCAATTATCATTTCCCTGCATGTAGTTTGTACCATGGTGTGGTACGACCATGCTGGGTTAGCATGCTAATGAGCGGTAATATTTATCTTGTTCAGAGTTCATTGTATCCATAACCTCTCATACGTTTGATCAAGGTACTTGTCTTGTGCACAATGGGGTACTTCTGTATTCCAGTGTGGTTTTACTGCAAATGGCAAATAAAATCAACATGGCGTAAAAAACTCCTAAATCATATTGTGTCATATCTGTGTAAAACAGTTGTTGGTTAAGTGTTAGCTGATAATGTGTGGCTTGAATTCATATGCAGCCTATAAATCACTTTCTTTTCAAATGTAGCTGGCATGGTTAGTATACAGGTGCCCTTAACAGTCCAGCAAGTACAGTATATAAGCGTTACCATGCGTCATCAGAATCTAGAGTCATAGTAACACATAGTGCATTACCTACACACAACCTCATCACTCTCACCAATCCAATCTTCACAATAACATGGTTGACTGTGTGCCAGCCTGACATGCATGTAGCGTTGCTTATCGGTGTGTTTTCGCCTCCTGCCAGGTGCTATTTGCCTGCACAGGAAACGCATGACGGTGTAAACAAGACGGTGCTGGCAAACAGCTGGACGGTGAGAGGAAATAATGATGTGGAGCGACAGGAAAACAGCATCCACGCTGCGTTGTGGAGGAGCGGTGAAGTGGGCCACAGCTGGGCCGGATGTCAATGGGAGAATGTGATTATCCTGGAGCAGATCTGGCTCTAAGTGAAAGAAGTGAGCAGAGCAGAGGATGGATACATGCACCGGCACTCACCCTTACACAATCACAGGTGTGTGTAGAGCAGGACTCACAGCAAAACAGGAAATCTATGACCCATTATTTTCAATCTACCCAACTTGCATGGATGCCTGTGCCAGAATGACCACACCATTCCTTACATCGGACACTATTTAGGGCTCATGTCGTTTTTACTGATGTTTGCATGTCCAGAATATGAAAAATGTAGTGCACTCGTTATTTCCCAGTGTGGAGTTGGGTTTTGACTCAGAAATGTGCTCTGGAGTCCTGACTAAGCACCTTTTGACCACTTTTACCTTTTTTATCTTGTGTTTTACTTATTATTTGTTTATTTGTTATTTGTGTAAATGTGATTTTTATGAATATTTTTGTGTAGATGCCTTGAACCTTGAGTTTTGAGTCCAATGGTGGTTACTACTCAAAAGCATTAGGAGACAGGAAAAAGCAGCAGCTGATAGAGACAGATCTTTAACCAGACACAACATGAAATAAAGCAGACAGAAGAGCTGTTTAAAAGCACTTGACCAGAGATTATGCATAATCTCCTTTAAATAACACTAATGTAAGCCGACAATCTCTGGCAAAAAATTGAAAATCTACTCTGTTTTGATCTTCAATTAGAGATCTATCTTGATGAAAAACATGTAGGATTAATATATTAGTCCATAAGTCGGATTTGTTCACCATGTTTTAACACGCCACATGCCAGAATCATGTGTCTGAATAGCCATGAGTTACATATTACTTTTATAACTGTATGTCAAAAGTTGCTTTACTTATTACAATACGTGTTAAATTACTTTGTAGTTATACAATGTAAACAAACATATATGATTTATTTATGTTATATTAATATGCAATGCTACATGTTTTCTCCATGTTCAAACTGTGGGAGATTGTTTTGCAAGTAACTAAGAAGTCTAGAAAGTACAGCGTTAGTATAACTGGTATTTTAAAAGTAATAATTTACACTACTAAATGTGAACAAAGTATTTGTAATAGAGTAACACCCAACGCTGCATGTGAATGAGTCACTAATGAGGGTGAGAGTGCAGAGAGAATGAGGGGTGGGTCTGAACAGGGTGGACACTTCACACTTCACCTCCAGTCCATGTCAACGTCTTTTATAATGTTATGTTGCTATTTAAAGCAAGTCAAGAAGTGAACAAAAAATTGTTTTGTCATGTATAGAATCGATCAATCGATTGGGTTTGATCAATCTATGAAGCAGAAAAGTGCATAGGAGATTTATAATAAGTATAATAATGAGATGAACTAACAATAGGACTCCCAGAATTATAAAACTACTAGAAGAAAAGATAAACTTTATTGATAAGTCATTTTGACTGCTGTTCAGTTTTCCACCAGTTTTATTAAAAGTAAGTCTAAAAGTGTTTGGTAAAAGCCAACCAAATGCTAAATGCGGCAAGTAAACAATGCAAACAGACACATGGAAACTATGCTCCCTTCTCTGGTGTAAAACCAAGGGGACTCTGCTCAGAACCAGTCCAGTACTAGCACGTTGGAAAAAAGGGGATTAAGTGCCATAGAATGTTAGATACCAAACAACAAAAACTGGCTTTCAGTTTTAACATTAAAATGAAAAAGATAATCTCTGAAAAAATATAGATTGACAAAAATAAACTACATATAGATACAGAAATGTGACAAAGTTACCAAGCGCAACAATTTACATGAGTAAGTAATTACACATCCAAGTATAAAAGCCGACAAATGGACTGCTGTGGGAGTTCTAACAGTGTATTATTGTTAGTGTGTACATACCAGCGATGAGCAGAGAGGCCTCCAGTGTGACCTGTGACCCCGTGAGCCCTCGCCCCACACATTTGTAGTTCCCGGTGTTTCGAGGCTTGACCTGAGTGATCCACAAGCTGCCGTTGGACAGAAGGACCAATCTGTGAGCACAAGGAGAACAACATTAACACATGGGGAAATGTAAACTACAGAGCATCACGTGGGAATAATTACAGTCTTTGTTTTGTTTGGAGATGCAGGGCACACCATACAAACACGAGGATTAAACATTTCAATAACGTGTGCGCCCAGGGAGATGGAAATAAACACATTCTGTTCTGTAATCACATTTGCATCAACAAATCTGTACACAGCTCCTCAACCATGGTTTATGCAATATCAACAACAAAGGTTTGGGTTTCGCTGTCAATGGTCATTATTGTAATTGTATGAAGTGTGAAAAAAACGTTCTTGAATCTGTGAGCTTTATTAGGTGTTTACGTCATATTCAAATGAGTCGAGTCTTTAGTTCACCAGAGAACACTGAAAGCTGGAACTTCAATTCCTTATTAGAGAAGCAGCAGAAACAGCCTTGTTCCAACAGTTCTGGTGAATATCTAACCTAACTTCCTTTACATTTAACAGGACTGAATTTACCATTTGAATGCTTATCATTAATGATGTAAGATGTCAATCCTTCTTACGACTGCAAAACTAAAAAGGGCATGAACAGAAAAGTGACAATTCTACAAGGTTGGAGTGTTTGGACTGCTGTCTTGTCAGCTGTTTTACACCGTTTTGGAAGCTGTCTTTCTGCCTCTGGTCCTGCCACTGGTCATAGGAAGACAGCGCCAAAAACTGTAAAACACTCTGAGGAAGACTGCACGCCAGCAGTAAAAACAGTAATCAACTTGTAGAATCTATCAGACTATGAAAGTTAGTTTTCTTGTGATTTTAGAGATGAAACTGAATAATGATTCTGATAAAACATTTCTTGAAGTTGATTTGCTCAGTTTGACATAGTGAACAGATTTAAATGTTCAGAATTTACAGGAGAATGAGGAGATGAAACATTATTTTGTGAATAATGGTTATTACTAAAAAAAAATATTGCAAAACTTTAATTTCTAAAACTAGACATTATTTTTTATATTTCTTCTTATGGGATTGAACCAAACAATGCAGCACCAGAATCTAATGCAATATAAATAAGCCTTTTGCTTCAGGGGCAAGTCAAATTTCAAAGTAATTGCTATATCAATAATAAATAATGTACGTTTTAATATCTCAAAACTCATCAAATCTCATTCAAAGATGATGAGGGACACTGAAAGGGAAAAAATCTCATTGTGAGAGCTTCTCACTTGGCCTGTGGCAGCCTGCAGGGGACTGAGAGCCAGAGAGCCACTGAAATAATTAGACAGAGTTGACCTAAAAACTACTATATAGAAGAGACCTGCAAACAAAGAAACTGCTGAAAAATACATACACATGCTATGGTAAAATGTTGTAGGATTTTGACTCATTCTAAAACAAATAGTAGTTCCTAAAACAGGGAAGACAGCTTGACAGTGCAGCGGGATTTCTCATGAGGGTGGTATCTGTGTTGAGAGTCCAAAACAGAGAGACATGATCTGAACAGGTCTTTGTGGCATCAAACTAAAATGACACAAATTAACACACTGGCATAATCATAACTTTTTTAAACAATTTAATCTGTTTAATCATTTGTATGTGGTATGTACACATCTGGAGAACCCATTGTGTGGGTGAAATTACAGCAAAACCCTTCTGCTGTGGTTTGTTGGTTTGCCCCAGATGCCCCTCAGTGTGTGTTTGCCAAAACCGCCCTGAGCTCAGATTCACACATATTATCTCCATTAAATATTTAGACTTCCCAAGTGGGCTCAAGAATCCCCTTACTAAAGACATTAGTAATGCAAGTATAACATGCATTTATAGTTTTTTTTGTAGCACCCAGAATCAACGTCAGACCTGACATTTGAACTAATAGATGGTGTAAAAGTACAAACATTATGTTTTTAAATAAACTGCGTCGCCATGTTGTTTGTATGAATGAGAAACGTGAAGGTTCCAGAGGCTGCAAGGCTGTGCCAAGTCCCAAGTCTAAGCTGCCCTACAGCAGCTGTGGCACAACTGGATGTGAGGAAGTAAATAAATAATGCAACGGCAATCTTCTGCTATGGACCAATAATTAAACTCATTTCTTTATTATTATTAATTTAATTGTTCAAACATACTTCTTAACACAATTATAAGTATAGTATAGAAATGGTATCCACAGAAGGATTTCAGCATTGTGACTACTGTTTCCAATACAAGTTTATTTGTATAAAGCAGTTCCTACACAAGGCAAGTCAAAGGGCTGAACAAAACATGATAAAAAACAATCACACAAAGCCTTGGAATCATAAATCATAACATTGGTTATTATCATTATTATTATTAGTGGTGCTGAGCTGTGCCATGTTTGGTGAGTCTAGGGCCAAACAGAACCAAATTCCAATATTTGAACCTCATAATAGGCTCGGATTTTGTTATGTGGATAAAGAGAATGTATTATAGCAAGTCCATGGTTGAAAATAGCAGAACCACTCGTGTTCTGAGTGCTGATCACTTTTCCATCTCGGCCGCAATAATCTTAACAATACATTAATGGTAGAAACACAAACGTAAACCTCTGCCAAACAAAATAATTGCAACACATCTTTGCTTGGGGCCCTCCTCCCAGCAGGAGCAGCGGTCAGGACGAGGTGAGACGAAAGCTACATTTTTTTTTCTATGTTTACAAGCAGATCAGAAATGCGGCGTCACCAGAGCTTCAGTTACTCAATCGCCTCTGACAAGCTCATTACACAAGTGACTGGCCTCCAATGAGGTCTTTTCAGTGCGCACAGTAATCACTTTATCCCCTCTCTCCATCGAAAAGAAGGCAACGTTAGGCCCTGAGGGAATACATGCCCCGTGTACAAAATTGTTATTATGTTGTGCTTGTGTTTACGGGAGGCATGCTGGGAGCCTGATTGTAGCCTGAAGCCTCTTTCCAACTCGCTGCCTCACTTTTGGTGGTGAATCACAGAATATTTGCAAACTGTTGTACTGAAATAATGTTACTATAATAAATGTTAATGCATTTCTATTGGGGTTGAGCTGTAACAAGAGGCAAAGTAACCAGATGGTGGGAATTATTTTCTTATGTCGCCATTTTGAGTCCTTTTAGGCATAACATTGCAATGGAAGCTGGGGTTGTGAGACAGGCCTCTACCCTCAACATGTTCAAAACTAGACTGAAAACATATTTTTTGCTGTACATACAACTGATTCTATTTTGCACTATTTATTGCTTTTATCTCCTGTTTTAAACCCACATTTTAATGAGTTTTAAAGCCCATACTTTTATGCTGCTCTGTTTTAATATGAAATAATTGAATATTTCATTCACCATTTAATACATTTTGATCTGCGTTTTTAAATTGCTCTTGTGAAGCACTTTGAATTGCCTTGTACACAAATTGTGCTATACATAGTAAATGATAAACAGGATTATTTCAATGTTTGTTTTGTATTCAATAATTTGTTGATAAGTTAAATTATGAAAGCAAACGATAGACAGAACTCTGGTCCCAGTCAGCTCAATGCATGATCTAGCTGATAATGTGATTTAACCTCTTAAGCTCGCAGAAAAAAAATACATCTGCAGGCAATAGCAGATGTATTTTGAACTTCATAAGCCACAAGCTATATATCATTTTAAAGCTTATTTTCTCAGCTATATTCATATGGAAGTGTAAACAATATCAGACTTTGCATTAAAAAGATATACAAACACGATTTATGTTGTGCCCATATTATGCGTTATATCTTTTTAATGCAAAGTCTGATATTGTTTACACTTACATATGAATATAGCTGAGAAAATAAGCTTTAAAAAGAAATACAAACGTGATTTATTTTGTGCCCATATTATGCGTTATACATTTTTTACCTTTTGTCTTCTGCTGCTCCAACAAATTAGACTTTCCCCATCCTTGCTTAGTCTCTTTCTCTCCGTAAGTCTTCATTGAAAAAGAATGTCCACTTGTATTTCCCAAAGTATAATCCATTCTTCAGAAATAATCCAAAAATGTGCATTTTTCTGTTGCAAAAAAAAAAAACGCTCCGAAAAATGTTCAGGCTTCTCTTTCACATTTCACCAAGTTTGAGCTTTTTTTAGCCCCACAAACATCACATCCACGTGTTCCTTGAGTCCTTAGCTTCAAAAAGAGAGGTTCCATGAAAAGATAGGAGCAGGTTTCAGTCACTGAATGATTGATGTGTCTAAGTAGCCAATAAAAAAAGCTTTCTTTTGATGGGTGGGACTTGTAGGAACTCTTCATTTTCTCAGTAAAAGCGTGCGTAAAGACGCTGTTAGTACTGCTGCGCATATTTTATATGCATTTACACTACTAAAAAAATAATTTTGAAAAAATGTAAAAGAAAATTACACAGATTTGTAACTTATAAGTACCAAAGCTAAAATATATGCTTGCAATGATGGTGAAATGTTAGTAAAGCAGTTTGCCACAATTTGGCACACATTTTACCAAATTGGTCCCGAATTACATAAACTAGAAGGGCCTAGCTTTAAAATGATGCATCATACAAGCATGTGACACGTAAGATGTGTTTTTAAATAAGCAAAGACATTTGGGTATGCCAAACTTTTGTGCAAGAGCCAAAATAGATGTAGGAGTTTAAGAGGTTAAAGAGATGTTAAAATAAACTAAAACACAGGGTAGGCCCGTTATTCTGTTGATAGTGGGTACTCTAGAGGTCAAGAGTTGTATTATTTGAATAGTTTAAGCCACATAACATGTAGGATAAAGATCAACTTAAACCATTCAGAAAAAAACCCCCACAAAATATTATTAAATTCTTGATTGTAAATTGTCAACATTGAATTGACCCGTTTTAGTCAGTAGTAAAAAAGGTATATGCTAAAAAAAGGAATTGTACCTGGTCTTGTTGACCACGAGCTCTCCTTCGTGGAACCACTCCTGTGTCGGCGGTGGGACGGCAGTGAACTGACAGTGCAACATAGCCTCCTCATTCTTCATCACCACCTGGTCCTCGGGGGTCACCAGCGGCCGCGGGACGCTCTTATCTGTGAGAGGAAAGAGTCAGTACAACTCTCAGTACAACAACAAGCATTAACTGCAATGAAATGGAATGGTTGCGAAAAATGTAGCTATGTTGGATCACATATAACGCATGAAACATATCCAAATAATTCTTAAGTCTGAATGAGTGCATTCATTTTGTTTGTTTGTTATTTATCAATTTGGATTGTGTGGTGAAATTGTACGAGTAGGAGCTTTGCCATTTTGAACACGTCTGTTATAATGAGACCAGCTGCAACACGAGACAGAGGCAGTACATCCGAGGAACAAATATTAGCCTTCAGGGTTCCAAGATAGTTAGAATGTTTATGATGTACCCTATAATCCTTTTTCACCCAATGAGCCGCACTATCAGAGAAATGACTGAGGTATATGTTGTATTTTTAGGCATCTAGAGTCCGGTTTTACTTTAGATCAGTGTAGTCAGAAATTACATGTATTGGTAAAACCTTCAGCTGTTAAATCTCATGTAATATTTAAAACCTGTTCCAGCGACTCTCATTTCAGCCAATAAAACATTAGCAGCTCCATCTTATCCCTGTATCCACATTCCTGACACTTTTCCCCTGCCAACCTCCTGCTGCGGCGCTTGGGCCAAAGTCCTGGATTACTGCACTGACCTGCCAACCCAGGGCTCTGCATGAATCCAGAGAACACCACGCACAAAACCATAATTACAAACAACCACTACTTCAATATAGTACTGTTTTTAATCATGATTAAATGATTAAAAACCAGTGGGGGCGGGTCCCGGCTCAAAAGTGGCCAAAATGACGTGCGCTGACATGCTGCAATACCACCCCGGGCCGATGGGGGTGGACCCGGAAGTAGAATTAGCCAATGCTAACATATGGCATTGGCAGACCTCTCGAAAACGTCTTTACAGGATGGACCAAAAGTTGGCTCTTGGCCCAAAGCTCCGTTCCACATGTGTGTCAATGCTGAGGGGAGGGAATTTTTTTGGACCACTCTAGTTTACTTGAACTAGAGTGAACATTTGTTCAAATGAATGGAGCTCTCGTCGGCTGACGCATGCGCAGATGCGTTTTTTCACAATTTTCTTGTGGGCGGGACCACTCGCGGCCATTTTGGATAGCTCCAGGAGGGCACATTTTTTGGCCCATTAGTTAGAACGGCGGAGATAGGCGTGACTCTGTCCATTAATTTATATAGTCTATTTTAAAAACACACACATAATATTTGTATGCAAGGACCTACAGTTAGACCAAGATACAGCATGGCGAAAAAATATCCCCAAAAATAAAAACGATGACATTTGAGGCCGAAAAACCATTGTTTTATCCATAAGTTATTGAATGATTAGTTGCTGGTCATTATTGTGACAGACTGACCAACAGTAAATACAATTTTGAACAAATTAGTAGCATTGTACTCTGATGCTAATACGACAAAGAAACCACAGACAGACCATGGACAGATTGGTCTTGTTCATGAACCAATCTGTCCATGAACAAGAAATATTCCAGCAGAACTATTACTATTGATTATCTCTTATAATAACCACATTTTATCTGAATGGCTATTCAATAAAAAAAATCGAAAAGTCTAAAATACAGTTCTAAATGTGCAAATATGCCCAAAGTGAATGTGTTGAAGGGTTTGTGAGGACTACAGATGGTGCTAAAATGGAGGGATTGGAACGTCCCAGGAAGTCTGGACCATGTACATATAAAACCAATGTTAGTCCTTAAGGTAGAAGCGTCAAACACAATAGAAGGTGGCAATTTGGAAACTTGAAACTCCAGTGTGAGGCTTTCTTCCTGGGCAGGTGCTAAACTGCATGTCTCCTTGTGACTAATTGAGCTAAAGTGTGGCTCATGTTACACAGGCTGGTGGCGCGACTAGAGGCCGATCTCTGTGTCTGATAGTGTGTGCGTTCACAAAGGCATGCTTAATGTGACTTCAATCTATTTTTTTTGCTCTTCTGCCAGTTTTTTTGTCTAAATCTAAACCATATCAATGATTTTTCAATGGTCTGTGAGCTTGTAACCAGTGAAGAATTGGGGAAATGTGTTCAACAGACACTTGGATGTTAAAGCTAAAACATCTATTGCATTTTCATTTTTCCTTGAGTCACATAAAATAGAAATATTCAAATGTAGATGTAGTGAATGTTTAATATACGAGACTGTGTGGGTGAGGAGGAAAAAGGTGCAGAGGACGTTCATAGTAATCACATTAAAAATTCATCTTCGTTCGCCTTTCCGCTCGGTCCCACGGCTAATGGTTTCCCAACGCTTTAGCAATTTACCTGTGCGGGGCGGAAATATTCAGATGGATATGAGGTCATTTACAGTCAATTTAACAAGACAGGTGTTTTTGAGCGGTTAAGTAAAACATGTACCAACGGATTGTGCATAATTTAATCATGCAATCAAATAACATCAGATCTTAATGAGAGCGAGAAGGAGTAGAAAAAGCAGCTACCTAATGACAGATAATGGTGAAATGAAAATGGTTTAAAAGAAATAAAACATTAATATATAGACTATACTTTTTACAATTACACATGCTGCACTTCTTTCTGCTACGACCTGTGTCTCAGTGCGTGTGTGTTATTTGTGTCGTGTTGAATGAGTGAGAGGGTTTGGAGCCAAATAAGCTTCAACCGCTTTTCCAATTTTCAAATGTGTATTTCTGTTCATTTTGTTATTTTTTTGTTGAATGTTTGAAATAAATAATATTGATTGATTGATTGCTGCATGCCCAGTCTAACTGTCTGGAATCTACAGAGTTTTCTGGCTTGTCAGGCTCCAGTATCCCAGAATAGACTTTATCTGCGTGGCTGAGGAGTATCTTAGAGTGGCAATAGTGCTTAGCCCCCTTCAAAAGCTTTCAAACTATAGAGAGAAAGAACTTTTACACAACATTTCCGGCCATTAGAAACAATAATGAGACTTTCTTAAGAAGGAGGTATATGGTAAACCAAGTATCACGGGTCAAATCGTGTTTTGTATTCTTTTACGAATTTTGAACATTTACCACTGTAACCACAGCCACGTGATTGGAAAGATCAAAAATCCACTTGAGAAATTGCGAGAAAACTAATTTATGGGCAATACGTAATACTCGTTTTAAAAAGCTATTTTGAGTATGATGATGCATGATACTATTACAGGGCGGAGACAGCTTTCGAGACAGAGGGGGCGGAGTTAGATTATATTGGCGTGGATGGGTCTAAAAACAAATCCAGGTTTGTTTTTGGTGCGGAAACAATGTTGTAACAAGATTAAAAGCTCAAAAGTCAATGTGGCTATCCTAATAATGCTAAATACTGAAATGCTAGGGGGAGAATTAAGGATTTCTCAGCTTAATACACATTTTACTTTCAGTGTGTCCTTTAACTTCAGCCAACCAACAGAAAAGTGTCCGCTGCGATGGTTCAGATACGCACCTATGATATTGAGAGTGAAGTTGCTGTTGCTGCACACGTGTCCGGCTGCGTTCTTGGCACAGCAGTAGTACAGGCCGTTGTCCTCCACAGACGCACTCTTCAGGCTCAGGGTGCGCTCCTTGTTGTTGATCTGATGAGTCTTCTCCGTCAGTTTGGTTCCGTCTTTGAACCAGTGACACGTGGGACTAAACGGGAGAAGAGAATTTTGGGCATGATTGATGAAGTGGAGACAGAAGTGGTGACACAAGTGGCGACAGTAAGAGCTGAGGAATGGGCAGAAGCAGAGCACTGGAGCATGGGAGAGGCCAGCCCCGACTCTGGAGGAGGTCTACGAGAGTGCTTCAGATGTATGTGCTTTGAAGGATGAACTTAAAAGGGTTAGTGAGAAGTGCCTGTGTGAAATTATACCAAGAGAAATACCCAGGTTAGTGGAGATTATGCATGTTCAATGTGAGGGCATATTTATTTATTTGTTATGGTTTCAGTGAAAAAATATACTACTTTGATCTGTTGCTAACAAGAAGGTCCTAATTCCCGAGATAATGTTGGTGCATTTACAACAGCTGTCAGTTTCAAATTACTGTGGAGAGAATATCTTTGCTTTAACTAAGTGTCAAAAGTTTAGTCAATAGCCAATTTCTCTGCAATTCCTGGGGATAATTATTTTCCCCTAAAAGTATCTAGAAGAGGTGACAATATTCAAAAATGCGTAATGCTGGCCAGTACTTGTGCTGTCGTAGACAAATACATTTCTATGTCCATACCCTTTAGAGTCGTATAGACACCTTAACTTCACCTGAAATAATATTCTACAACATAATTGCAAGCTATACACACTCAAAAATAAATATATAAATATATAGTTAGAGCAGCACAATATTGGAAATTAGAGCGATATTCAATGAGTGTTTATAATTGCAATAACAATATTATTGCGATATTCTTTTCTTTCACCTAAAATTTAAATCTGCATTGAAACGCAAGAGACAAATAAAAAAAACATTAATGACATTCAAATGCATATATTTATATACTTTTTTGTTTTGAGATAATATTTTTCAGTAAATGGTTGTTTGAATGGAAAGATAAATGATGACAGTGTAGATATGTACAGTATTTGTCTACTATAACAATAAATCCACATAAAATGGCATTAACATTATTAACATTCTGTCTTTCTGTAGTAGACACTATTTTTCCAGCACAACATTCTCCCCATCTGCTAAAGCCTCCTCTTTCTTCTTCTTCTCTGTCTCATAAGGCTGGGGATCCTCTTCATTATTGTGCCTCTGCAAACTTTTCTTTGTTACAGGGATGAGAATGGGATATTTGAAAAAGGTCTGAAATGCATGTCAGCCAATGGCTGTCATTAAATCTGTTTGATTTGCTTACAACTTTTAACTTTTGGGCACCAAAAACATGAAATGGTAGTACAAAGGAAAAGTTAGGTACCCCAGCTTAAATTAAGCGTCTTTTTTCGCTTTGGGAGAAGACACGGGGGTGACGGTCTGTTTCTTGCGGCGCTGTTTTTATTGAGTGCATTGATCACGCCTGTGCGTGATCAATGCACACAGTGCTCCTGTGCGTGTGTATGGCATTGGGTACATGGCCACGTTACGGTTGCGCGCTCCCGTGCTGTTGAAAGCCGCTCACAGCTGCTGGACGCGGGAAGCGCTGTCCAAAGCGGCCGCAGATGCCCCAGAACGCTGCGGATTCCCATTCACAGCAATTGCCCCAAGGTCACGAGCGCGCGGGGTGCCAGTCACTTGGCACATGCGTTAAAAAGGTTTACATTTTTATAACGCGATTAATGAAAAAAATTAATTAACGTGCGTTAACGGGATAATTTTGACAGCCCTAATATATATATATTATATATACTTATATTTGTTTGTTGTTTGTTGTTTGTTGTTGGGGGCGACAGTAGCTCAGTTGGTAGAGCATTGGCCTTAAGGCCAGAAGGTTGTGGGTTCATTTCCCACCTCTGCACCTTCTCCACCGACTCCCACTGATGACTGCTGTCGTTGTGTCCTTGGGCAAGACACTTAACCCCACTTTGCCCAAAGCCCCCACTGAAAGATCAAGGCTATGCTCACACTCAGAGAGCAGCCGTCCTCCTGTGGACTCACCACCTGCAGAGGGTCAGTGAGGGGCTGGTGCTATGAGACTTGGGTGGCATCTCTGACTGCCACCCCCCTGACCCAGAAATGGATTAAAGGGTAGAAAATGGATGGATGGATGGATGGATGTTGTTTTAATCACACATATTTTCCATATGGATATCGTACGCACCAATATTGCGATAACAATATTTTTTGATATATCATGCAGCCCTAATATTTAGTAGGGAATGTCTAAATAATAAAATTGTTAAAAGATAAGTGGCAATATTGTCCAAGTAGTTTTAGAAATTGCATGATAAAAAGCCCAGTATTGTGAGTTTTTCTCAATGGGAGTCATTTCCTTTTGCAGTGTTCTAGTGTTGGTGAGGACTGAGGAGACTGACCGTGGATGTCCGTCGATGTGGCAGCGCAGAGAGACCGGGACGGAGCTCTCGATGTCGGCCTCTGAATCCGGCTCCTTCAGGGTCACTCCTCCGCTTTCCAGCCCTGAAAAAGAGGAGGACGGGGGAGTTTAGACTTTACCAAAACACATTCCTTCAATACTGCAGAGAATATTTATCTGTGCACTTGGCTAATACATGTTTCCAAAGCACTGTTCTGAGCAAGTAGGAAGCAAACTAATTATACACATTTAGCATAATTTGAAAATATCCACGTAATGCTTCATTAAATCATATAGAAAGTGAATTCCATTAGAGCAACCTTCATAATGTATCATTTCAAAAGCAATGTACTGGAACAATATAAAGTGATATTTATGTGTAATTAAATACCAATTCAACGCTAAGTTAGTTTAATAACAAAACTATCTACAAATAAGTCAAATGCCACTTGAAAATAAACCATTCTGTGAAAATCCAAGTGAGTTGTAGCAGAAAAATTTACATATTCTAACAAAAACAATACTCTCAAAGCAAATGTCAGTTACTTTACAAACTGATAAGAGAGAAACCTTTTAAAACCAAGCACAATATAGACCTGCCCATTCTCTCCCCGCAGCTTCCTGATTTAAATCCTTGGGGCCCTTCGTCATTGGTTTAACTATTCTCCTTCAGAAAACTTACTTTTTATATACAGTATTTGCCATGGGGAGAGACCAGTATTAAATATATTAATAACGCTTACTGTACATAATCACCTTTAACACAATATATAAAACATACATCAAATACAGCTGTCGATAATTCTTTACAACAAACTGCTGGATCTATGTGACCTTAGATTTCTGACAAGCTAATTTGCGTTTTGCTGTGTGAGCCTCAGTCCCTCAGCTCAGTAGCCTTCAGTGCGTTATCCATGTGTTTTGAAGAGGACGGTGCTCTATCGCTCTGTGTAAGTGGCACAAAGCTACAGCAGGAGAACGGACTAAAGTGGCTCCATGCGTCTGCTCTAAAAGACACAGACAGAGGCCAGAGCTGCAGGGAGCATCTCTGCCTCACCACATCCATCACGGGGACATGCCTTTACACGGCTTTTATAGGCTTTTAATGGACACTTCATTGGGCTGCACTGGTAAAACGGCCACTCTGCGATCAAGGAAGACTGTTAAATCTGCAAAGGGGGAAATGAGCACTAAAAGCATATTTAGACTACACGACAAGCACTAATTTTATGACAAAGAAGATAATTTTGACTTTCCATCCCAGTGATCTCAGTCTGGGATGCTTTAGGATCAATTGTTTAGAAGATTTTCAATGCTGACCTCACCAGAGAACCGACAAAACCATTGATCTGGGAGCATTGTAGATTTAATAGTCAATACAAAAAAAAATTCCACATATAAAGTTGCAATGCATTGTGTTAAAATGTATATATTTATTCAACTCATTCTTCTAATGATTGATGATAATTCAATGGGGCCAATTGTGACCCATATGATCGTTTATAGTGGCCCCTGAAATCCTCCACAGTCATTAATATAAACATGCCAACATTGATGCTAAGAGGTCCTGGCAAATTATGCATAGTTTAAAACAGTCAATTTATAATCTCAAGTTTTAACCCACAAACAATTACCATAGTACTCTTCCAATAAAAAGACCTTGTAAACTGAAGTGGCCTCTCAGTTAACAAAAACGTTATCCATGTGTTTTGGGATTTGGTCTTGGCATTTATGTTCGCCTTTACCTCCTCTCACCCTTATTAGACATCAGCAACATTTTGTAAACCCAATCGATAACACGGCTGACATCCAAAGAAACACAACATTGATTTTTACCCCTATGAATCCATCTTAGCTCGCCGAGAGGAGAGCTTTTTAATCAAAGACATGACAAAAGCTGCCACCCCATCATCCCCATGTCATAGATCACACGACAAAGCCACAAAGTACTGCAGGACATTTTGAAATAACGTAGAACGATGGGGAAGCCCGGCTATGAAGCTTTTGGAATCCGAAAATCTACATCTTATTAAGTTGTCAGCAGCATGTCAGAGAAGCGTCCATGCATTTCTTTGGGATTCCCCCTTCTACGTTGAATCACGTCTACGGCAAATACTCTTATGAGTGAAAACGAGACACATAATTGTTGTTTTTCAGCTGTATAATCATCGTGGTGTGTCAGTAACGGCACAGACAGTGGAAACATAAGTCGGTTTGTTTGGGCTACATAGGTTTGTGCTGTAGGATGACATTTCAGTGAGTCAATACTTTGCACTGAGTAGAATATGCCTGAGGGTGTATTGTAAGGCGCGCTAACTGGATACCTATTGGTTTTATGAGTCAACAAATATGTTGGGAGGCAAATATGTTATTAAAATATTGTGAGTATGTCTGACCCTATTAAACAGTCAGTATCAGTATTTGTAAAGATATTTAGTTATAGTAAAGTATTACAACAACCATGCAACTTAATTGGTCACTAGGGTCTACGGTATTGATGGAATTGAATATCCTTAGTTCATAAAGAAAATATCAAAAGAATTAGAGAGTTCATTGCCGTTTGACATGCGAGGAGACCAAAATATTAAGTGTTCAACAGCAACTCAAAAGGGCACAAATCACAGGGCGCTTTTTATCAGCAAGTAAATAAGTCAACTTTGTTTTTATAGCACATATTATTTCACAAATCAAGGTCACAAAAAGCGCTTCAAAATGTTGATGTATTTTGCATTCACTCCACACAAACAGATAATAGAAGCCTTATCTACACCATTTGTCTCTGGTAAAAACATGTTTTTGTGGTAAAGAAAATCTGATTGTTCTGAACTTGCTTTTAATAAATGTAACTTGGGAGTTATAAGACACACATGTGAGAAGGTTCCATCGTTTGCAATATTACAACAAAAATGTACATATTCTGACTCATACCAATGTAATAGGGTCTGGAAATTGTAATGTCATCTTTTGAAAACACTGCAATTTCTACTCAAATTGCCACAAAAAGACTATACACATTCCATTGTATTGCATTCATATTTTTGTATTTCTTGCCTCCAGGGCCACATACGAGTTGTAGCCTTGCTGTGAGGTTATGAAGGCGTCTGGAGAAACACCTGTCGGGCTGAATTACACAGGAAACATGGCCAAGAGGCTCATGGGAAATGTAGTCTCTGCTCACATATACGAGGCTAGTGGTCTCATTAGCTGTTGTACCGCACAGATTCCGTAGGGGCTCAGCTGTTGTTAGCTAAGTGAAATGATGCGTGTGGCCTGCAGCGGTAAGTGTACAGAGCTGCAAATCTCAACAGGTTTAGGAGGCTGCGGACACAGAAAGACGCAATCAATAATCTGGAATAAATGAATAAATGATATAAAGCGTGTTTGGGTGTGCAAAAATTGTATAAATGCATTTGCATCATCACCCCATTGACAATTTTCAGACAATATTTCAGAAATGTGCAAAATTGTGATAGAAAGAAGAAGTGCTAGTTGATGATCAATCATAATCAAAATGGACATTGAAATGAACCACAACGAAGTAGAAAATCTTAAAATAAAACGGTTTGAAAGATTACAAAGAATGATGTTATTGTTTTAATCAACCTGTTCTAATTGTCCATTTGCTGCCCAGTCTTTCTCCCTGTGGGATTTCCACAATACAAAAATCTGATCTCTTCTTTTAGTGACTCAATCTTTGTTCAATGACAAAAAGGACACATTGTTAGAACTGAATTTTGTTCTAAAAAGTAGTTTTTTGTTTATCCTCTCCTAATTTACAACTTCTTGTTCATGGAAATGGCAGATTGTTGCCTCATTCAATGTCACAGCTGTCAATAATAATAAATGAGGATAATAAAGAGGAGGAAACCAACAGGGAAAAAGTGACTCACTTCACAGGGGAGTGTAAATATGTGTTGTATCAGGAGCGAGTGTGACAGAGTTTGAAGAGGCCACGTTTGAACTTGTCCTTAAACCAGTGGGAGTTTCACTTATCATGGGACTTCAGATGGGTTTACAACTTTACACACACACACAGACACACACACACAATTCTCGTAAATTGTAAATATACTTTTGCTTCTTTACTAACAAATTTGGCTTCAAAAAGTGCATACAAATTTGTATGACAAACATTATCAGTCTATCCATAATTTTACAGGCATTTTTCATGATTGTTGGAATCTCTTGTAAATGTATCCATTGTGAGATCAATAAAGTCTTATCATATCTGATCTTAAATAACAGATTTTCCAAGGCATTCCACATGATGTTACTATTCTTTTCTATTGTTTTCTTAATGTGAATATTGACAGCTCTATCATCATAGAGCTGTATTTTGGTCTGCTGCTGATCCTGGAGTGTAGAAAACACATTTGCAGAGCAGTGAAGGGGAGGTTAGCGGGAGGCCAGACCAGAGACAACATTTCAAAACAATGATCACACAAGGTAAAGGCTTCAAAGAACCAATTATCATGTCCAATGCCCATCATCTCTGTCAAAACGAGATCTTTTGAACTTGAACTTTGCTAAACATACATCTTTATTGTTGTGTAAAAATCTTTGTTATTTCTTCCCTTTTGTGTGTGTCTTCATTTTGATCATGACAACGGAGCTTAATGCTGGCTCTTGGCTGACGTGTGTACAGGACAAACACATGCTTTCTAATAAGTTTTGAGTGAGTGTTTTGACCATGGATCCTGACACACTGTATAAACACTTTTGACCATGTGCATAAATGCTACAGGCGTCTGCTTTGACCATTTCCTCAGCTCATCTGCTCTCATCAGTGTTGAATGGATTTCCGGTCTCCGCCTCCAACATAATAACTTAACACCGTAATTACCCAATGATCCGCCAGGCCTGCTCCGGTACTTTCTGAACAGGATTATAGCCAAGAATTTGCTGCTAATAGGTTATGAATGAGCGCCTTCTGCATTGGCGAGGGGACAGCTGGGGAAACCTGAGTAAGTGTTTGGCTGTGTGGCTAAAATGTAGGTCAATTTGGGGACTAAATTGAACAAGTGTTGAAGCCTCACCAGCTGGAACACTTAATGGGTGAAGGGTGACAAGAATTGAACAAACACAAAGCAGTCGCTGTGCAAAA